CGTGTGTAGAGAACTTCGGGAAGTTCATAAGGGTAGGGGGTGTGACAGGGAGGCATTGAAGGCTTTTAAACAAGTAAGCAACTTGACTAAGGTTTTGCCTCTGGAAAATTCTTCTGGCCATTATGGTGGCTCAGGTGGAGGCAGAAACACCAGCCAGAGAGAGCCTACTGGCATTCAGACCAATAATGAGGGACAACTGCACTAAGGGAGGGCAATGAGGTTGGTAAAATGGGGGCATATTGGCTAGTTAATGTTGTTGTTGTTTAATGCTCTTGAGTCTGTTTTGACCCATAGTGACCCTATATAAGGTTTCTAAAGAGCATCTAGTAAGCCTAAACTGCTTACCTTGCAGTTCAAACCAACTTTGCAGTCCAGCGCATTTACCCACAGCACCACACCAGCACTCCTAGGAAGACTGAAATAGCAGGACATAGTAATCCATTACAGGTACAGTGGGGGTGTGAATCTGCATTCTGGATTGATCCTGTAAAGATTACAGCCTTGGAAACCCTATGGAACATGTCTGCTCAGACAGGTCACACTCTGATTTGTTTGAGAATCTTCATGACAGGCCCTCTCCCCAACTCCACTGTTTGTAGACTGTGATGTTTCCCTTGAGAATTGTCATGTTTGTGCTTTGTGAAGAGGCATGTCTCAGCATGATTCTAAGACACACTTAGTTTTACACAGGTTCCCTACCCAGGAAAGTCCCACATTTGGTTTAAGGCTTTGTTGATATTGTCTTGAAATTTTTAATTTTTAACAAGGAGTCCCTTATTTTCATTTTCATTTTGCTCTGGGTCCTGCAAATCACAGCGCTGGCTCTGTTCCCGGGTCTTGAACTAGTGGGTAGATCACAGTGTCAGTAATTGAAATCAGAACTAGAAGAAGGGGCAAGTTTATGAGGTCTGGTTGGAAAGATGAGTTGTTTTGCACACATGAATTTCATGTGCTGTGGGTCATCAAAGAAAATATACTCAATAGGCTGTTAAAAATTCAATTAAAATCTCAGCAAAGTACAGATTGGCGATACATCTGTAGGGGTCACCAAAGCCGTGGTGGCTGTGGAGAACCTGAAGGTGGATGAAAGGAATGCAGATGAAAAAGAAGCTGGAAGATAGGAGGACATGGAGAGATAGAGCGGCAGAGGGCTCATGGAAAGAGAAAGGCTGTGTGCTGGCAGCCAAGAGGTAGGCTTTATAGAATGTGCCTTATGGTTGTTTAAACAATCATGGATTCCTGAGTACACCCCTTTTTGTGTACACCTCTTCTCAAAAGAAAAAACAAAAACCAAAAAACCCAGAGGCAAATACTGTTGAATGATGATGCATGGAGGGGATTGTAATTGCAATGAAATGAAATGAGATAGGATGAGTACAAAACTAATGTTTTTGCATGTAAACTATCACTCAATTCACAATAAAAGCTTTCAAAGAAAAGAAAAACAAGCTGGAGGCTTATTTCAGGGTAAGAAAAATGGAAAAGAAGTCAGAGTGAAGAAATTTGGGAAGATGATGGTTTGGGCTTGCGTTTGGTGTCCTGAAAGTCAAGGAGAAAGAAGTCTCTAAGAAGGAAGGAGTGATTGATTATTTGATGCATAGGTCACAATGAGATCAAATAAGACGACAACAACGTGGAAAACTCCATTGCATTTGGCCATTTGAATGTTGGTGGTAATGACAGGGCAATATGAAGATGAAAGCCACGTTACAATGGGATAAAGAAGGGAACAGGATGAAGCAGAGAACCTAAGTGTAAGCTATCCTTTTAAAACCCTAAAGTAGGAAGTTAAAGGGAAGAAACGAGTAGAAGGTATGCAAGATAAATGCAGGGTTTATATGAGAGAAGGAGAAGCTAGGGAAGAGAGAGCATACAGAAGACTAAGGTAATAGCAGTGTTCTCACCTAAGAGGAAGACTCATTTCTAGGACAGAGTGATACATGTAGGAATTTTATCATTGTGACTCCACGGCACACCTCCACCAACCACCACCACAGTATGGTAGTAAGGAGAGTGGTGGGGTATGGGAAAAGTGAATTTACAAACTGGGAGTGGTCACTGACAAGGGACAAGTGTAATTAACAGGAATCCTGGTGTGGTGCTGTGGTTAATGAGTTGGACTGCAAGGTCTGTTTGAACTGCAAGGTAGGTGGTTCAAGCTCACCAGTCGCTCCTTGGAAACTATACAGGTCACTATGAATTGGAGCCTACAGCACTTAACAACAACATGGCGGGTTCAGTGGCAGAAGAGCAGAGGTCAGTCTCCAGAAGGAATCAGAGTTGAATGGTACTTGAAAATTTTAAGGATGTACAGCTGTAATATGGATTGCATCTCAGTGTAAAGAAAACAAAAATCCTTACTACTGGGCCAATAAACAACATTCTTATCAATGGAGAAAAGATTGAAGTTGTCAAGAACTTCATTCTTCTTGGATCAACTATCAACACTCACCGAAGCAGCAGTCAAGAAATCACACGACGCGTTGCATTAGGCAAATCTACTGCACAAGACCTTTTTAAAGTGTTGAAGAGCAAAGATGTCACCTTGAGTTCTAAGGTGTGCCTGACCCAAGCTATGGTATTTTCAATAACCTCATATGCATGTGAAAGCTGGACAGTGAATAAGGAAGACCACAGAAGAATTAATGCTTTTGAGTTATGGTGTTGGAGGAGAATATTGAAAGTACCATGCGCTGCCAAAAGAACCAACAGATCTATGTTGGAAGAAGTGCAGCCAGAGTGCTCCTTGGAGGCCAGGATGGCCAAACTTCATCTCTCATACTTCGAACATATTGTCAGGAAGGACCAGTCCCTGGAGAAGGATGTCATGTTTGGTAAGGTGGAGGGTCAGAGAAAAAGAGGAAGACCTCCAGAGAGATGGGTTGGCAAAGTGGCAGCAACAATGGGCTCAAGCGTGGCAACAATAATGAGGTTGACCCAGGACCGGGCAGTGTTTTTTCTGTTGTGCATAGGGTCCCTATGAGTTCGAACCGACTCGATGGAACTTAAACAACACAGCTGTAAATGCAACTTTGACCCAGGGCATTAAAATTTTGACAAGAAGAAAAGAGATGTGCCTTTTAGTTAAGTTCCAAAGACCTTCCATTGTCCTGGTGTGGTGCCCTAGGATAAGCACTTGAACTTAAGTTCAGTTTGAACCACAAGGTCGGCTTGAATCACAAAGTCGACAGTTCAAGCTCACCAGCCTCTCTTCGGAAACCCTATGCAGGGTTGCTATGAATCAGAACCGACTCCATAACCAACCAAACACAAAAAACAGGACTGATTTTCTCTGTGCTCTCCCACAACACCCAGGATTCTGAGCACCCAGGGAGGCAAATTCTCAGGAGGCTGCAGTAGGTCCTTGTGCGGATCTGGTGAATAATTAATGCATCACCAAGACCTGAGGCTCCAGACTCCCTCCTACAAGTGAATGCTTAAACCCTGAAAAGCAGCTTAATCTAGGGTCTAATGATTAAACTTCTCTGAGCCCTATTCCATTGCAGCAAAGTTAAAAACTGACCAACCAGCCACTTAAACCACTCTCCCTGCAGTGATTAATTAGAAAACAAGCAAAATCTCTAGACTGTACAAACATTTTCTCCAGATTCCCCAGAGCAGAACTAAAGAGCTCATGTACTGATTCCAACCAGAAAGGATGGTAGGGTCCCCACCAACATTTGCCCCCTCTCCAGCCCCCAGAAGATGACGGAATTTACATTTACCAATTATTTAAGCTGACAAGGAGCTTTAGTGGTACAGTGGTTAAAATGTTTGACTGTGAACCAACTGGTCTGCAGTCTGGCTTGATCCTGCAAAGATTACATCAACTTTGAAATCCTATGGGACATCTCTACAGGAGGCAGTGGATTTCTTTCTTTTTTAAAAATTTAACCAGACAGGTCACTCCGATTTGAGATCCTTCATGAGAGGCCTTTTCCCCCCTACTCCACCATTTGTAGACTGTAGCGTTCCCCTCGAGAACTGTCAAGGTTGTGCTTTGTGGAAAGTTGAGTCTCAGGAGAGGACCTCCAGCTTCAAGGCTGCATCTACCCTGTCAAGGTGATGGGAAAAGGAACCACAAACATTAGTGTCACTTGTGACGTGAACAAGTTATCTTCCGGATTTAGCTAAGAGGTAGACTTTAAAAGCAGAATTGGGTGGATAATTTGATACTGTCATCTCTTGGGTGGTAGGGACCAGGTCCTGAATAAATGTGTACGTAAAGAATGCGCAGGAGGAGTAGTTCCTTTCCTCCGTGTGAAGACACCGTGCATGTCGCGCCTTCCCACACTAAGTGGCACGGAGGCTTTCACGTCTTTCTCCAGAATAAGCCCGACAGGTCAACTATCTTCAAAAGGGTTAATCGTCCTCCCAGAGCGCGCAGTTCAAGAGTTTCTAGCCTCGGGCACCTTTTCGTGACTCACTTCTTACAAATGTAAATGCACCAGTCCGCGGTAGGTCTCGGTCTGAGACCACCACCCCCTCACTTCTCTATCTTAACACCTACCTCCAAGACCAGTCGGGACGCATCCCGCCCCCCAGCGCCGGACTGTCCGACCCCTCCGTGCACCCCGGGGCGGCCTTGCAGCCCCTCGCTGGGAATTGGAAGAGCAAAGCCTCGAAATAGATGCCCGCAGACACGTCCTTAAAACAAAAGAGGAGCCGGGAGGGTTGGCCCGAGACCTCACCCTCTCCTGGCTAAGTTTTGTGGCCTTCTGCCGCCCGCCCCCTCAGCCCCTGTCCGCCGTGTGCGCATGAGCAGAGGCGCCTCCCTCGGTTCCTCCCCAGGCGAAACTTTCTATCTAATTCCCTTCTTTGGGCTCTGGCCGCCTGGAGCGTGGAGCGCGCTTGCACCGGGGGTGAGCAGAACAAAGTGGCTGCGGGATTTCCCCCCCGTCCCTACCCCCGCCCCCCGCTTCCGTGGGAGCGGCAGGAAATGGAAGGGCCCCTCTCCTCCTCTCTCTGAACATTTGCCTTTTTCTCCACCTCTGCAGAAAGGAAGACGGGAAAAAAAGGGCAGGCGGCTCTCCAGGCGTGTTCCCCGTCCTCCGCCGTGTCCCCTCTGCTGCAGGGACTCGGACATGGGACTGCTCCAGGTGTTCGGTTTCGGTTTCTTAGGTAATTCTGTGGAAACAGGGGGACTGGGGAAGGTGGGTTTGGTAGGAGAAAACCCTAAATCCGTTTGCTCCAACGTCGTGGGACTTCGGGGAATTGGAGAGGGACTGGGGAGGAGATTCCGAGGAGATTCGGAGTAAACGTCACCGCCCTGGCCTCGGCGGTATCTGGAGACTGTGCGCGCGGAGTAGCGCGGACCCGCATCCCTGGGCTGCCGCGGGCGACGCTCGGAGCTTTACTCCTTCGGCCCTTTGAGCTGGGTTTCCTCACCGCAGGGCAGCGCCCAGGGGTGCAAGACCTCGCCGCAAGGACTATCTGGGACCTCACTTCCTGGGAAAGTGCCCTAGCCGAGCGCAGGCTTCGTCCTGGGAACAGACTAGGGCCATGTGGCTTTAATTAGCCCTCGCTGTTTGCCTCCGGGTGGCACCAGAAACAGCTGGACCCGAAGCTTCTCTGGAATGGAGAGGCGTACAAGCCACTCCGCAGCTGCAGGGGCAGTCCACTCGCCCCTCGCTCGGATTAAATATCTGCAGGGCGCGCGCGCACACACACACACACCACTCGGATCTCCGAGCTCACACATGTTCGCTGGCACACACGCGCACTCTCACACAGGATGCCGCGAGCTCGCGGGTTTACACACACACACACACACACACACACACTCTCTAACGCGCATGGGTGTGTGGTGTTGGGCCACCACATCTCTGCGCCTCGCTTCTGGCACGTCTAAGTGGCGGGTCTACGCACGCACATTTTGCAATGGTTCCTGCTCGCACGAGCAGATCAATGTGGGTGCGAGTGTTGGTGACCTTCCCGAGGGTGATGCTCTCGACTGATGGACAAACGTGATGACGTGTCTTGTGTTTCTATCCCCGTCCATCCTCGCCATCTCACTACCTTCCTGGCCCTTTCCACGCTCATCTTTCCTTTGTGTCTTGTCCCTTCTGTGTCTTCTCCTTTCTTATGAGTCTACTCTCCCCCACCCCTCTTTGCTCTTTCCCTGCTCCTGTCCATCAATCCTTCCTATCACACACACCTCCTGCAGTTCTGTGCGGTGCCGGAGTGCAAGCTCAAGAACCCGAGTTCAGCTACGGCTGTGCGGAGGGCAGCTGCTATCCGGCCACGGGCGACCTTCTGATCGGCCGATCGCAGAAGCTCTCCGTGACCTCGACGTGCGGACTGCACAAGCCTGAGCCTTACTGTATCGTCAGCCACCTCCAGGTGAGGGCGGAGAGCGTCACTCACACATCTGCTCGTGCCGCCTACAGTCCAGTCCAGAGGGAAAGGCCCTGGGACTCCGCATCCTGCCAGCTATCCAGATAGGAAGCGCGGCTAGTCAGGGGAGTCCCGGGATTAGGCTCGTAGCACACCCTTTTGCCCCATCTCAGTTTGCACAGTTGCATCCGCCAACATTTCCTGCCGCCTCCGACGATGACCTGACTCGGGAGTCGAAAAGTCCCGATTTTTGTTTTTTTAATCTTTTCTCTTTGAGAGTGTGTATTAAATGCAGTTTTTTCTCTATTTTTCCATACTGAGCAGCAATCATAGATTTTCCCCTGAAGTTATCACTTGGGTAATGTGTATATAGCACCGACAGACATCTTGTAAGGTCGTCCCACTCACTGAAGCGGTTTTTTATCTCTTGTTGCTGCTGTGTGCTGTCTGTCGGTTCCGAATCATAGGAACCCTGTTAGGGTTTCCAAGGCTGTAAATCCTTTTTAGAGCAGAACGCCTCGTCTTTCTCCCGCTGAGCGACTGGGTTCCAACTACTGACCTTTCTCTTAGCAGCCCAACGTGTAACTCAACTCGCTAAGCTTATTCAAATCCAGTCCGTTCTGACTCATAGCTACCCTGGATAGGGTTTCCGAGGAGCTGGCTAGTGGGTTTGAACCACTAAACTTAGTTCAAACCATTTCCACCTACCTCTATTAAATATCAGGATCAAATGCTTTGTTTTTGTTTTTCAAAATGCCTTGGTACCAACGACATTTCAGGGTGTTTCTAAGTGTACTTTTCAAAAGGGTTTTGCTAACAGTGGAACCAGATTTTAGATTGGGGAGGTCATATTTTTACAAAGTCAAAATTAATTTTAAAAGAAGCAAAATGTAAAGGATTTAGAATCTCTTTCCTCTGTCCCACCCCCACCCCCCCAAAAAAGGAGAGAGAATGATATCTCTAGCTCTAACACAAGCTGAAGGTGCTAGTGGCCTTAAGGGCAACTTCCAGGCCAATGGCTCTAATTTTGGTCACTCCACCCACCTGTATACCTGCCCTTCAGAAGGACAAGGTGTGTAGTTTACGCAGGCAATGTCTAAAAATGGAGTCGTTTTTATAAAGCATTGAGAAAACCCATCTGGAGCTTGATAAATGAAACTGAGGAATGTTGTAAAGTGGATTGGATTTACTTGCTTCCAGATTTACACAGAAATGTCTAGACTGCTTCCTCTTGATTAGAAGGGAGGCTATAATTATGCTTTTTTTTTTTTTGTAAGTTCTGGTAATTGTTCCCAAGGACTAGTTTCCTTGACTACAGCTAATGAAGGCAGTTACCTTTTCTAATATTAGCCTTCAATTTTTACCTAAAATATTGTGCCTCCATTCAAAGACCTAAACATCCTGTAAATGAATCACTCGCCTCTGAAACCAGCTTTGACCTTCATGAGAACTGGACTGTTTGTCTTAAAAGCGCATAGAGCCAGGCTCTCTTGTCTTTATGATTAACCATGAAACTGTGGCGATTGCTTCACTTTTCACAGAAATAAGGCCCTAACTAACAGAAGGCACTGGGCATGCACTTCTCAAACATTTGATGGTTGAAAAATAAAAACAGGGAGCTTGTGTTGTCCAGGGTTCGACTGCATTCTTGCTTTTTTGACCTCTACTCTGGTAGCATAGAGGTTACGAATCGGGCTGCGAACCGTAAGGTCAGCAGTTCGAAACTACCAGCTGTTCTGCGGGAGAAAGATGAGGCTTTATGCTCCCGTAAAGATTTATAGCCTCGGAAACCCTGTACAGGGTGGCTATGAGTCGGACCCGACTCCACGACACATAGCAACAACAACAACTTTGTAATTAAGGAACCCTGGTGGTATGATAGTTAACCACCAAAAGGTCAGTGGTTCAAACCTACTAGTCTCTCCTCTCAAGAAAAGACCTGACTATCTGCTCCCGAAAAGATTGTTGTGTTGTTGTTAAGTGCTGTCGGGTCGGTTCCAATTCATAGCGACCCTGTATAGGGTTTCCAAGGAGTGGCTGGTGGTATTGAACGGCTCACCTTGTGGTTAGCAGGAAATCCTGTGAGGCAGATTTACTTTGTCATTTAGGCTCTGCAGTGAGTCTCAAACATAGTGACAATTGTGACAGTGATGCAGGACAGGACAGTGGGTCATTCTGTTGTATATAGAGTTGCTGTCCATGGCTCCTAACAACAACCTAAGTCAAAATTGACTCCAGGCCACACAACACTTTGTAGTTAATCTTTCCAATCTTTGAATACTTTTTGGCGGAAGATGATAACTAATAATTAACAAAATAGCTAACTAAATAAATACAAATTTAGAAGTACTGGCCATTGATTTTGTCCTTGAAAGAATAAGATGCTTACTTAAGCACTGCTTGTAGGATATATGCAGGTCTGAAGTCTGGTATGGTGCTATAGGATAAGCACTGTACAACTAACCACAAGATTGGCCATTCAAGCCAACTAGCCGCTCCTAGGAAACTACAGGATCGCTATGTACTGGAATTGACTGGATGGCACTACAGCAACATTTTTAGATTTAAGAATAATCTGCATTTCAGGAAATGTAGGCTTACAGTAAAGCCCCATGTGGAAAGAGGACTGTTAAACCAAACTATGATGAAGTACAAAGAGGGTTCCCAAATGCTAGGGTGGCTGTGGCTCCCATTTTAGGGAAAAGGAAACTACTGTAGAACCCTAAAGTCTATCATAATTCCAAAGTCCATGGGTAGTGCAGATGCTTAACACATTCAGCTGATCACCAAAAGGCTAGAGGTTTGAGTACATACAGAAGCAGCTTGGAAGAAAGACCGGGCCATCAACTCAAATATCAACCTTTGAAAACTATATTTTCACAGTTTTCCTCTGTCACACACATTGGGTCACCATGAGTTGAGATTGACTCAGATGCATCTGGGTTTTTTGGTTTTTTATCATGAGTTCAGGACTGCAGGTCCATTTTTGGGTTCTTTGCTTTATCCCTAGTATATAGTGATACCCAACACGGCAGGCCAGCCTGGTAACCCATTCACCAAATGTTTTGAGCAGTGTGTAACTTAACCTGAAGGTCACCATCTCCGATTCACTGAGTAGATTACTCTTATTCTGTAAATCCCAAACTTTCTCTAAATGTTTCTGCCTACTACTTGGTTTTTTTCTCATTTAAGTTTTAGAAAATCAGGTCCAATGAATTGCTCTCTTTTTTTGTTGATTCTCAGTTCATTTTATAACAGCAAAAATTCTCTAAATACCCCCTTCACCTTTAGAATAAGCTTCTCCTGCTATTTATTGAGCTTAAGGTTTAAGCCTAGAAATTTGATTTTGATGAAATTAATAGTTTATGAAAACAATGTCCTTTTACTTTGACCCTGAATTTTCAGAGAGGAGGGAATTCTTTCGTAAATATTTTAGACTTAGTAAGGAAAAGTGATAGGCCCGTGATGTAAATCATTTGCCATGCTCATTTTTCTTGAAGCAGGCAGGTTGTATCTTATATATCATGGACTTTATGAGTTTTTGTTGAATTCTGAGATTGCTTACTAGACTGATGAGATTCACTTTTTTTTTTTCAGGAGGATAAGAAATGCTTCATATGCAATTCTCAAGACCCTTACCATGAGACCCTCAATCCTGATAGTCATCTCATTGAAAATGTGGTCACTACATTTGCTCCAAACCGCCTTAAGATTTGGTGGCAATCGGAAAATGGTATGTGGTCAGTGTGGAAACAAGTTCCATGGAGTGTGATTAGATGGTAGCCTTGATGGGGTTTAAGCTCCGGAGTATGTGTAATTACCATGGATTCTCTGTCCTGTAATTGTGGCCTCTGACAGATTTATTGCCGGGGGCACTAACTTCTCTTGGTAAAAATCTGATCCTTCTTCCTGAAGCATACAAGAAAGCAGTCTTTCATGCTAGAGCAAAGGAGTGTTTCGTAGTCTTTATCCTGATAGGGGCTGTGGGAGAGTAGATGTATGTTTTGGTTGGGGGGCAGGCGTGGGAAGGCCCTGTACTATCTCAGGGCTTTATTCTTTCACAAAACATAGCATCTTTCATTTTGCTCAACCCAAAGGAAAGGGCAGATCAACAGCCTCCCTTCCCCTTCCATGTAGAGAAAATCATACAGTACTGTGAATGAGAACCATAATGTAATTTTTCAAAGGCTCTGGAAACACAAACATGACTCAAACTGCCTCCCCAGTCGTGTGTGAATCCAGCCTGTTTTCCTTTCTTTGTCTTTTGGATTGAGGTTTAATGAAATCACCAAATAGGATAAATTACTATGACTGCGAAACTAAGCCCAGATTAATTTCACATATGCTTCACACTTGAATGCTTAAATTTAGGGACTAAAAGTATAGTGTGTTTATTCATTAACAAGGTATCATATGAGAATGGTTTTCAAAGCATTGAAACTAAATCTGGCCATAAAAAGTATTGAAAACCACTAGATCATTTTATTGTAAGCCTGACACCTGGGAAACTTTTGGATGTTTGTAGTCATTTATCATCTGTAAAGAGAAACATTCTTAATAGACTTCCTTGTCTTTGACTATTAAATTACGTTTTCTAGAGGACTACTGGTTCTTTGGGAGGGTTATTCATAGGTTGGCCATGGAAATACATTGGTTACAAACTTAACTGAGATGGACTTGTCCACAGAAAGCACATACCATTTAGAACTGTGTTCATTCTTAGAGAATATCTTGGTTGAAAATTCAGTCAAGCAAGTTTCTATGAATCTGTACTTGAATCACAAAGGACTTCTGAAATAGCATAGAGCTTACTGTAAGCAGTGACTAGGAGCATTTCCTGCCTGCCCACATTCTTCCAGTGGAACAGAAAGACAATTTGAAGAACGCCTGAATGGTAGCATCAAAACCGCTTCCACTTTAGTTGATTAGTTGTTGTTATTGTTGTTGTTGTGAAGTGTCCTCAAGTAGGTTCCCACGACTGGAGAGCTTGAACCACCGACCTTACATTCCAAGTGTCACAACAGAACTCCATTTGATCAATAGTAAAACATTTTCTCATGGATAAGTACTGGGTTAACAGCAAAGTCAGCAGTTCAAACACGCCAGAAAGATGAGACTATCTATTTGTGTGAAGATTTACAGTCTCAGAAACCCTATATACATTTGCCATGAGTCCTGTTATGGCTCTGTGGGTTAATTAATGCTCTCAACTGCAAAGTCAGTTTGAACCACAGGGTCGGCGGTTCAAGCTCACCAGCCTGTCCTTGGAAACTCTATACAGGACCGCTATGATTCAGAACTGACTTGATGGCACTTAACAACAACAGGAGTCAAAATTGACTCAAACAACTGGGAGTCCTGGTGTGGCACTGTAGGGTAAGCACTGGACTGCTAGCCACAAGGTCAGTGATTCAAATCCACCAACTGCTCCTTGGGTTGCTATGAGTCAGAACAGACTCTGCAGCACTTAACAACAATTAAACAACTGAGAGATGGCAGGGTATGATACCAGTCTGTTTGATTTTTCTAAAGACTTGTGGCACTGTAGGATAAGCATTGGACGCTACCCTCAAGGTTGGCAGTTCAAATTCACCAGCTGCTCCTTGGAAACCCTATACAGGGTCACTATGGTTCAGAATGGACTTGATGGCACTTAACAACAACAACATGAGTCAAAATTGACTCAGTGGCAGTGGGTTTAGTTTGGCTTGGTTTGATATCGTTCTATAGGCAATTTTTCTTAATTAGGTCAGGAGTTAATTGATTTCTACACTTTTGAATTTGTGGGGCAAAAGAGACCAAGTGCCAGGCAGAAGGAATTTTCAAATAAGGGGCCTGAGTTCTCTGTCATAGGCGATTAGATGAGATCGTTGTTATTTGGCGCTATCGAACTGGTTTCAATTCATAGCAGCCCTGTACAGGGTTTCCAAGAAGCGGCTGGCGAATTTGAACTGCCGACCTTGTGGATAGCAGTCCAATGCTTATCCTACAGCACCAGTTTTTTAATGCTTATCCTACAGGACTCCCAGTTGTTTAATGGTTCACAATTAAATACTTTATGGATTTGATTTTATCAGTTTTCTGTGTTTTGTATAAGTTGGGGCACTAAATTTATCAGTGCTCAGGCACAAAAGTGGTCGTGGAGTGTTGCAGGTACTTCTAATACTCTGAATGATGATCCTTTTCTAGGTTTGACTTTAGTCAAATATACTTTAGAAGAATGATCTTGTTTCCTTTCTCCATGTACTTTTCATCCCATATTAGGAACAAAACTAAAACTGTAGTCCTTTATCAGTTTATCATCTCTAAAGTGAGAACTGGTATTCAGGACCACATTGCTGCTTTTGTCCTTATGTTACAGAAATGGTACTAGCCTGGCTTTGTACTTTATATTTTTTCATCATCGCTTCATTTTGAACAAATATTGCAGGTTTTTAAAAGTCTGGCAGAGGGAAGATGTATTGTTGCTTAGTTAACATTTTCACTCAAAAATTTATATCCTAAGTAGGTTTTAATAGCAAGGTTCTTTTAAAATGTTAGATAAGGTTAGTTCATATGAAGATAATGTTTTTCTTTAACATTCCAACTAACTCAAAACTGTTCCAGTGACCATTTGCCCCCTAATGGACTTGGCAGTTGTCCAGCGGGAGGGTTTGTTTCAAAAGGTCCTGCTGATTTCCTGAAAGTATACCTTCCTGTGACGTGATTCATTCTGACACATTCCTGTCTGCAGGCACTTAAGACTTTTGCTGGGAGATGGACCCCAAAAGCTTTTTCAAACACAGGAACCCTAGAAAGGCCTCCTTTATCCAAAAGCTTGAGGGTCATAGAAATTGGGGAGGGGTAGTGTTTTCCATCACTGGGATTCCAGCAGCCTCTTTAGTGTGATAAAACTGGGGCTGTTGACCCTCAGGGCATGGCATAAAGGCCCATTTGTTTGTTCAGGCTTGGACCTGAAAGGGGAGATGTTAGTATTTGTTCTGGGCCGGTTTATTTATTTGACCCACTCTTTGTCTCTTTGGCATTGTTTTTCAATTGTGGAAATGCATTCAAAGGCGTCCTCATCCAAGAGAGGTTTTTCTAAATTGGAATACAGCTAACATATGTGGAAGGTTCTGGTTTCTTTTCTTTGCTGCTGCATAGGAAGAAAAGGAATATTTGTGTTTCTACTGAGTTGTGTCCCTCCTGCCTCAGACTGCAAGCTGACCCCCTGATGTGCACAGGAAGTGCCTCTCCTGTTCCCCTTTGAAAGTCACTTGGCTCAGAGGTTTGGGAAGCTGGTCCCTGTCTTCCTAAGCAAACTGTCTTTCTTGACAGCGGCTCGGCTAGAGGCATTCTGCCAGATGTCTTGTTCTTGTGAGTCGGTCCAATATGTTGAACTTCAGAATGATGTGTAGAAACTGAAGAATCCATCTGCTTTAGCTTTGTTGCCCAAATCAGTACAAAGGTTTATTATTATCTTATCTTCATCTTCTTCATAAGATAGAAGACAAAGAAGATTTCTAGGAAGAGCACAGATAATTTAAGAAGATAGTTTCAATTGTTCATAGCTGTTGACCTTGCTCTTTCCTTTGTAATTTTGTACTATTTTGAATTGCCTATAGGCGTGGAAAATGTAACGATCCAACTGGACTTGGAAGCAGAATTCCATTTTACTCATCTCATAATGACCTTCAAGGTAAGTATTTCAAGGTAACTGTTTTACAAATGACACATGAGAACACTGTAATTCCTTTTTCAGAATAGATGTGTAAGTTGGCCAGAGAACTTAAATATTATCTTTGCCTTAATTTGAGATAATTAAGCAGCTTTTTAAACATGGGCGTGAATAACTATGGTTAGCTCTATCTTTGTGACAATAGAGAGAGGTAATCCCACTATAAACTTTTCATTAGATATCTTTTTATTTCCCCACAGACAGAGACAGCTTTGACTCATTCCCAAACCACAATAAAACATCTGGAGAGTAAATCCCTGATACCCTGTGTTTATGTTTTAATGTGGAGTTTGGTAACTGAACAGGAAGCATATTTCCTTTAGTTTTCAAGGTTTTGTAAAAATTGTGAGAACAGTTTTCCTGCTCCATATAAAATGCATTGTTGTTGTTGTTAAGTGCCATCGAGTCGGGTCCGACCCATAGCGACCCTGTACAGGGTTTCCGAGGGTGTAAATCTTTACGGGAGTAGAAAGCCTCATCTTTCTCCCGCGGAGCGGCTGGTAGTTTCGAACCGCTAACCTTAAGGTTCGCAGCCCGATTCGTAACCACTACGCTACCAGAGATGCATACTTCTCCGTAAATGTGAGTTTTCTCACCGTTTTTCTTTTAGAGATGTAAAGTAACGCCAAGACTAGGGAATTTCTCTGTACAAAGTGCTTTTGTTTCTTCTGAAGCAGCTGCCTGGAAATGACAGACCTCACGTGGCTTAAAGTACATGCTGGTGCACATAAGCCCATCATTTACTTATTGCTTCTCTGATTAAAATCACTTTTGAATAGGTTTGGGAACTATATCTACACCCTCTCAGGTTAGGAAAAGTTTCTAGGGATAGATGAACCATATGGGTGATGAATAATGAAAGTCTCCTTTTGTGTCCTCTACCAATGCCTGCAAAGAGCTCTGGTAGCGTAGTGGTTACGAATCGGGCTGCGAACCTTAGGGTCAGCGGTTTCGAAACTACCAGCCGCTCCGCGGGAGAAAGATGAGGCTTTCTACTCCCGTAAAGATTTACACCCTCGGAAACCCTGTACAGGGTCGCTATGGGTCGGACCCGACTCGATGGCACTTAACAACAACAACAACAACAAAGATTTACAGCCTCAGAAACCCTGTGCAGGGTCACTGTGAGTCGGAACTGACTCCATGGTACACAACAACAATCAATGCCTGAGGGGGTGTCCTGGTGTGGTGAGCAGGATAAGCAGTAGACCACTGCAAGGTCGGTGGTTCAAACCCACCAGTCGCTCCTCAGAAACCCTGTGCAGGGTCCTTATGAGTCGAAACCAACTCAAAGGCACTTAACAGCAACACCCAATGCTTGGGAGGTCTAAGAGTCAGAATGTGACTCGGAGGGACATTGGGGCTGAGCATGTCTTAGAACTGAGCTCTTCATCGTGTGCCCTCCCCCCAGTAACCTGTGTCACCATGATTGTGATGCCTGATTTAAAGAGTACTGGGGAAGACAGTAACCTATGTCACCATGATTGTGATGCCTGATTTAAAGAGTGCTGGGGAAGACGTCCACTAAACAGCTGTCACCCAACCCTGTGACTCACTTAGAACCACACGCTCAAGCCAGCAGTTAGTCGTCATTGTGAAATGACATAAAAGAACTCCAAATAATCTCTAGTAACGTTTCTGGTCCTAGCTTTCGAATCGACATTTGACTTTGGAAAAGACATCTCTTTGCATATGTGGGCAGTTCTGAGTTCATGTCTATTCAGAAGTCCTTTGGGTACATACTGTGTAGTTGAATACTCATCCAAGTGAATACAGTGGGCTAAAGATGAAATTCCATCCATAAGTGTCGAAGGCGAAGTAGAGGAGGTGGTGACTGACTGAGATGCATGAGATGGTACAAGCCATCAGGGTTTCGGTTAGGGGAGGGAACATGTCCTTCATGGACAGACTTGTGTGTGAAGAGCATCTATGGGGTTGAGAAGACTTGGCTGTGTGTGTGACTAGAGCTTTAGCTTTCTCATTGTTAAACGGGAAGAATAATAACCCCTAATTTATAGGGTCGTGTGAACTAACCTGCTGATTTGAGAACAGGGATAACCTTGCTGCCATGGTAATGGTGGAATCCTGGTGCGACTTTCTAGTATAAACATTGGGTCACAAAGTCAGTTTGAACTGCAAGGTCGGCAGTTCAGACCCATCAGCCACTCCATGGAAATTCTTTACAAGATTACTATGAGTCAGAACTGACTCAATAGCACTTAACAACAACAGTGTATACTGGTGCTTCAATTGCTCTCCAGGATATATTTGCAGATGCCTTCTAATTAATGCATGACAGAAGGTGCTAGCTGCTATAGCAGAGGTTCAGACAATGAACTGTGCATTAGCATGGGATGAAGGATTGAAGGAAGACTCCTTAACAACCTGTGATATGCAAATGTATAACCTTGCTTCTGTAAAGCAAAGAAGACTTAAAATACTGATGAACATCAAAGACCACAACCTTCAGTATGGAATGCACGTCTTGTAAAGAAAGCAAAAATCCTCACTACTGGACCAATAAAGGGCATCATGATAAACAGAGAAAAGTTTGAAGTTGTCAGACTTCATTTTGCTTGAATCAACTATCAGTACTGGTGTGGCGCTGTGGGTTAATGCATCAGACTACAAAGTTGTTTGAACTGCAAGGTCGGTAGTTCAAGCTCACCAGCTGCTCCTTGGCAACCCTATAGAGGGTCACTATGGATTGGAATCGACTCGGCGGCACTTAACAACAACAACTATCAACATTTATTGAAGCAGCAATCAAGAAATTAAACAATGTGTTTGCATTAGGCAGCTCAGCCTCACAAGACCTCTTTAAAGTGTTGAAGAGCAAAGATGTCAGTTTGAGGACTAAGGTGCACCTGACCCAAGTCATGGTATTTTCAATAACCTCATATGCATGTGAAAGTTGGACAATGAATAAAGACCTTAGAAGAACTGAAGCATTTGAGTTATGGTGTTGGAAGAAAATATTAAAAGAACCATGGACTGCCAGAAGAACAAACAAACCTTGTGTTTGAAAAAGTACAACCAGAATGCACCTTAGAAACCAGGATGGTAACACTTCTTCTCAGGAGGAACCAGTCCCTGAAGAAGGATGCCATGTGTGGTAAGGTGGAGAGTCAGCAAAAAAGAGGAAGACTTCTCCATCCCAATGAGATGGATTGGCACAGCGGCAGCAGCATAGGGCTCAGGGGTCACAATGATTGTGAGGTTGGCACAGGACCTGGCAGTGTTTTGTTCTGTTTTGCAGAGGCTCACTATTATTTCGAGCTGGCTCAACATCACCTAACAACAATAACAAAGGAGGAAGCCTTACAAGGAGAGGATGGGATGGCATTTGATCTGAGCCAGGGAAATTGAGCAGGATTTCACGGGGAGGAAATGGGAAAAAAGCCATTCTTGGCAGAGAAATCTATCTTAAGAGTAGAGTCCTTCATGATGATGAATGACTCTCTAGATTCACCAAGTACTGTGTAGATTTGTCTCAAGTGTGAGGTAGTGATATGTAGGAAGAGAGGGAAGTAACATTGAATGAACAGAAAAGAGTCCAAAGGAGTCAGGAACCAAGGAAATAAGAGGTAGGAAAAGAGAGGAAGGTAACCCAAGAGGAAATTCAGGATTAGGACAAAGAGGGCAAGTTGGGAGGCTCTTGCTGAGGTATTGATGGAGGACTTGCATAAGAAAGGACTGGTGTCCATGCAAAGACTTCTGTGATTCTCAAGTAGGAGGGCTCTTCCTTCTGCAACCCAGGAACCCTATCAGTAGTATCTGGAAAGATTTTTCAAATACTCATATCCCCTTGTTGTCATATTCTGATACTGTCTTCTACAGATGTCTTTGGGAATCATTATTCTAAGGAGGGCCTCTTTTCAAAGGCATTCAGTTGGATCTTTTAGAATCAAAAGTTGAACCATGAATTGGAAAGGCCATAAATTGGAAAGATTGGAAGCAGACCAATGGAAGGAAAGCACAGAAAGGTGTGGATCAAAGATTATTTATCTGTCCAAAACTGGGGAACTAGGAAGATGGTGGTACCGTCAACAGTAGTGAGGACAGGAAGGGAATGAATGAAGACTACTTAATTATGATGAAGAGTATTTATTCTTAGCCACGTTTGTCATGTCATTAGCTGATCACTCAATAGATTGGGGTTTCTTAGGTCAGCAAAACTCACTTAGTTTATATACAGTATGTGCTTGTACAGTGGGCAGATGTTTCAAAACTCAGCTCTATTACTTATAAATTTGAAGAAACTGAGTAGAAATTAGGGCCTGAGGAGACTGATGAATAATCAAAAAGTAGAAAGACTGTTTTGTTCTTTAGGTAAAATGGGTTTTTTTTTAGTTTCCAGCAATTTCTTAATACTACAGGAAATTGGATAGTCAATGGCCCTTTGGGACTTGGAGGTTTCCAGAAGGGTTGGAGAAGGAAGCAGGGCCAGGACAGACTTGAAGGCTTTTCCTCTCTACTCCCTCTTGTGACCCAGAGACATCAGACATAGCTTTCCTCCGCCAGTTTCTCTACCACCACCCAAGTACCCCACCCAAGATCCTATTAGTATAGGGAGTTTATCATGTTTACTTGGTACATGGGGTTCTGTTTTTTCATCTTCTTTAAAATTCTAGTCTAATACTTTTTTAAGCTTAATAAAATATCATTTCCTTATATTTTTGAATAAGTGAAAAAATTGAGACCTTGACCAATTAGTGAGTGAGTAAGTCAAAGAATCTGTCAGAATGAGATTGATTTTCTTAGCCTTGGCTTTTTTTTTAACTAGTGAAAAGGGCCAGCAGAATTCAGAACGAAGGGAAATGTGGGTTTAGGTATGACTAGTTCTCACCATTGGCACTCAAGTGGTGATTTTAATTCAAAATGAAGTGTATTTAGGTTCTGTTTTCCATTTGCCCTTCCTCCATTGTAATCTTACTTAGATTTCCCATTAATGCATTCACTGTGTTCATCAATATTAAAGCATTCACCTTTGCCTATTCTTAATGCTCATTTTGCTTCATTTCTTATTTACAACTGACTCTATTCACCACAGCCTCCTAAATCTCCTTCCTACCTTGCTTTTCAGGATTCCTCTTTATCTACTTCCTTGCTGGTAGTCATGTATCAGTCTTGTACTATACCATAAACCAGTGTGAGAACAACATAGACTTGGTCTTACTCAGTCTGGATGTGAATCTGAACTTTTGTGTCTGTAATTAGCAAGTCATATAATGTTTCTGAGCCTCATTTCTAAACATTAAATGCAATAATGTAACTAAAGTTCTTGGCATCACTTTCTTGCCTTTTCTCCTCATTGATACTTTTTCCTGAATCTCTTACTTTGGCACTCTTTTACTTTTACTTTTTGCTTTTATAGGAGAAATTCCATACTTACAGGTTTCAATATTGTGTGTGCAATTTCCTATTTCAACCTCCATTCTTGAAGCTGAATTCCAGACCACTCTTTCCTAATTTCCAGTAGGCATCTCCAGGTCCCTGGCATGTGAAACACTTCACACATAAAACCAAAGCCAAATGCCTTTGCTCCTTTTCCATGTCTTTTAGGCAACACTGTCCACCCAGCTGCCCAAGCTAAGATGCCCATGTTTCTTTCTTCTCTCCTTTTCCACTGAAAGCTACTTGTCCACTAAGTGTAATTCAATATGGTCTGCTCTGTAAATTCTCAGAGCAGTTGATCCTATCTCTTTCTATCCCTGTTGTTACTGCTTGAGTTAAGACTTTCATCTTTTTTTTTTTTTTTCTATTGTAATCACTTCCTACTATTTATCCTTGCACCTTATTTTTATGTTTAAAAAAAATTCTCACAAGAGTTATTTTTTTAAACAGCAATCTGAGCATTTTATCCTGTGCTCTTAAATCATACAGTATTCCCCATTCATTGCATAAGTTGAGTGAATCCTTTTCCATGTCAAACAAATTCCTTCTTGTTCTGGTCCCAGGCAGCCCCATCTGCCACTTGCAGCCACCTCCACTTCCTGCCGGGATCCTTGTAGGGTCCAGCTGGATGTCATCTTCTCTGTGAAGCATTCCCCAACTTTTTGAGTTAGTAATGCTCTCTTGTTTTCCCAAAGTGCACTGCATGTGACTCTGATTTGGTATTTGACATGTTATGTTACGTTATGTATGTTACAAATAATGGATACCTGTATCTGTACCTTCATTGGCTTGTTTGTGGCACACAAAGCATGTCGATGAGGGGGCTTCAAAAAGTTCATGGAAAATGGAATTAAAAGATAATGGAATTTTCCCACAAATTTTTTGAAACCCCTTGTAGACCACTGTCTGGTACCAGAGGTGATCATTACATATCTGTAGACTGATTAAATGAATGAACAAATGAATTGAGCACTCTAATAAATCTTATTATGGGCATGATGACTAAAGATACCAACATTTATTTGCTATTAAGATCTGTTTGTAATCAGCTTCTAAAAGAGAAGCAGAGTTTACTAATCTGGGTGGGAGAAAGTGCAAAATTTAGAGGCTAGACTTCATGGAAAGACTTGAAGTGTTTGAAACTCAGCCACAGTCTGAAATACCAACTATGTGCAGTCAGAGCTGAGGCACACAGTAGAGTGATATTTTCATAGAAGATTTATAAAAATACAGATTACCAATGAGCATATCGCATGTGGCTTTTGCTCCCTGTGTCTAGACATTCCGTCCAGCTGCTATGCTGATAGAACGATCGTCTGACTTTGGGAGAACCTGGGGCGTGTATAGATACTTTGCCTATGACTGTGAGAGCTCATTTCCAGGCATTTCAACCGGCCCCATGAAAAAAGTTGATGATATCATTTGTGATTCCCGATATTCTGACATTGAACCGTCAACAGAAGGAGAGGTTTGCATTTTTTATTTTATGTTCTACTTACAAATTAACCTTTTAATCATTGTAAAAATGCCAATTACTCTTATATCTGTTTCTAGGTGATATTTCGTGCACTAGATCCTGCTTTCAGAATAGAAGATCCTTATAGTCCAAGGATTCAGAGTAAGCTTGTTTTCAAATAAAAGCTTTTATGAGAAACAGCAATCGCAATTCTGGGAGAACTATGAACCAAAGCACGGTTATCCAGAATCTAAATTATTCAGTGCTAAATCCACCCATTCGGTGTCATTCTTCCTGTACTGTGCCCTACCAGAAGTTCTTGAAATGAGCATACCAAAGTACTCACTCCAGGGAACAGTTTTGATAAGAGTTAAAGATTTATGTCATAAATAATCAGTCTCCATGATCATAATGTTGTTAAGTGCAGTCGCATTGGTTCCGAATGATAGCGACCCGATATAGAGAGTTCTGAGGCTGTAAATCTGCAAGAGCAGAAAGCCTCATCTTTCTCCGCAGGAGCAGCTGGTGGACTCAAATTGCTGACCTCTGGTTCAACATCCAGTGCTTATGCTATAGAGCCATTATTATAATTCCTGATTTCATTTTTCAGTATATCAATTAGAATGTAGATTAAGCTATTATAATAAAGTATCCCTCCAAAATACAGTGACTCAAATAAGATAGATATTTATTGCCCTCTTATTTAAATCGCCCAGAGGGATTTCCAGAGAAATGGAGTTCTGTTAAGGATCCATGATGGTGCAGTTGGCCTGCTAACGGAAAAGTCAGCACATCTGTAAAGATTTACAGCCTCGGAAAGCTTATGGGGCAGTTCTCTGTCCTATAGGGTCACTGTGAGTCCGAAATGACTCAGCTGTGGTGGCTGAGTAGTTCTATTGCCCAGTCTCAATGCCAAATATTGCATGGCATGTGATTATAAAAGTATTTGTTGTTTATCCGAAATTCAAATCTAACTGTATCTTTAGTTGCGAAATCTGGCAATTCTAGCCATAAGTTCACCCAAGTTGCCAGGTTTCTTTTGTCTTTTAGTCTTCATTCACATGGTTAGAGCTAGACCACCATACCCTTTTCTTGTTCCAACTTATAGGAACTGGGGAAGTAGAGGAAGGAGATTCCATTTAAAGATGAAACTTAGAAGCTGTACTCATCTGTTCACATTCATTGGCCAGCATTAGTCACATGGCTAAACTGCAAGAGTCTCTCGGAAATATCTCTAGCTAAGGAATCCTGGTGTAGTACTGTAGGATAAGCACCAGACTGCTGACCAGAAGGTTAATGGTTCAAATGCACCAGCCACTCCTTGGAAACCCTATTCAGGGTCACTATGAGTCAGAACTGACTCGATGACACTTAACAAGGTGGTCATGAGAGTCCTGGTGTGACACTGTAGGATAAACACTCAACTGCTAACTGTAAGGTCAAAGGTTTAAACCCACCAACCACTCCTCAGAAACCCTATATAGGGTTGCTGTGAGTCAGATGGACGCTACAGCACTTAACAACAACAGGTGGCCCTGTGCTCTGCAAAATACTGTGGCAAATTCGAAGCCTCAGTCATGCTCAATAAGGTGAGGTCTGTGGTTCCATTTGACAGATGAGAAACTAGAGGGTCAGGGAGTTAGTGGCAGAGTCAGATCTTGAACCTCATATGTTTTGATTTTCAGGTCAGATTTTTTTTCAGCATTCAATAGCTATTCTTATATTCTGTCAGAATTACATTTTTCCTTTTTAAAGTTTTTATTGTGAGTTGGGTGGAACTTTACAGGGCAGATCATCAGTTTCACATTCAACAAATCATATACTTTGTTTCATTACAATGATTATAATCCCCTCTATGTATCATCAGTTAAAGAGCTCTGGTAGCGTAGTGGTTACGAATCGGGCTGCGAACCACAAGGCCGACAGTTCGAAATTACCAGCTGCTTTGCGGGAGAAAGACGAGGCATTTTGCTCCTGTAAAGATTTACAGCCTCGGAAACCCTGTTCAGGGTCACTATGGGTCGGAACCGACTCGACTGCACTTAACAACAACAATAATATGTACCATCAGTTAACAGTATTTCACTCTATTCATTTCAGCTCTTTTTTTTTTTTTTTAAACACTCAGGCATATATAATAATTTACACCACCAAAGGATACATCAAATATCTCCTTAGATCTTCAAAGGACTCACTATCTGTTCCTTTTGGGGAGAAATATGTGGAACTTGATGAATGTGTTGCCATTGTAATCCTTTTGTCTTCTGTTGTTGCATGGCTTCAGAAAGTCCATTTCTACAATAAGGAAGCATCCATTTTAGCTGCTTGTCCTGTTTACTTTGTAATCAAGGGAACAATATCTTTTTACTTGTCCTTATTGTTTGAGATCTTGGAGACTTACTTGAAACATGAAGTTGCCTCTCAAATGAGGCTGAGTTGTTATTTGAACTGTCATTAAATATGGTGGGAGAGAGTGGGGGAAGCATACTTGCTCTTCTGAGGGTTTCCACAAAGATCAGTTCAAGGATTTCTAAATACTCCAGCTGCTCTTCAAGTTTAGTTGTTTGGCCTCTTGTCAATAGACACTTGTGCTCATTTTGTGCAGGAGGAAATGTTGGCATTCATAAATTCCATTCTGCTAAAGTAGTACCACGGTTTCTCTGTTGAGCTTTTGGTTTTACAAAGAGCTCAAGTTTAATGCATGGAATTTCTCTTTGAACCCACAACCATTTCTATAGTCTTTATTGTAAGTTATGCATATAGTATACGTATTTAAAATTGCATTTGGGCTCTGGAACTTGGATGCATTGGGTCAATACCCTATTGTCTTGTGCTGTAAATTATTAGAATGCATCAGCATCAATGACAGTAACATTTATAAACAATTTTGGGCTTCAGAACTAAACGAGAAGCTAGTTGCACTAATCTATCTTGTGGGATCCACTTAAGCAAGAGTAACTTAATGATTAATGAAAACACCAGTGGAGAAGATCTTGAGTGGATCTTGGTTTGTCAAGTTTTATAGACTGTAGTTGATAACCCAAGTTCTGTAATAAGTCTAGGTCTATAGACCTAGCAACAACAAGTAAAAATAAAGAAGAGAAATTCATCTTTAAGTAACTCATACTTAGGAAAAAAAGAATTTGCCCCAACATCCTTTGGTCACTAAATTGCACTGATAAACATGGAGATATTTTGTAAAGCTATAATGCAAAAATTATTGATTGAAATATTGCTTAAAAGTCTCCTTTTGGATTGTTGTTGTTCTCTAGTGTTACATGTTTTCTTAACTTGGATTTCCTTTTAGTGATGGGAAATTGCAGACGGTAGTCTTCTCACCAAAAAATAGACACAAACATATGTTTCTATCTTATAATAATAATGACAGTTCAAGTGCTCTGATAAACCCTTTCCCACTTGAATTGAATTTTCTGGTTTTGAGAATAAGTCCATTGCTCTGGGAAGCAGACGGTATTGAAATAGTTTAGATTACTGTATACCAGTAGATTCCAGTAACCATACACTTCCATTCGTAGCATTTCTCCACTTCCAGTACTCCCTTTAAAACACTAGTCTGCAAACAAATCACCACAAGATAGATGTTCTGATTAAACTGATGAGAAGGTGGGCTCTCCTCCTGCCAGGATGGCCCTGTTATGTTAAGCTTTATTTTTCCAGTCAGTTACATCACACTGGAACTTCCAAGAGACCTGAGCCATTTTCATTTTCCATGACTTTCCATAAAGAGAAATGCTGTTATGTAATTGCAAAAGAATTCTTGTTTGACATGACTTTTCATCTTCTTGATGTCCTTTCTATAGATCTGTTAAAAATCACCAACTTGAGAATTAAGTTTGTTAAACTGCATACTTTGGGAGATAACCTTTTGGATTCCAGAATGGAGATCAGGGAAAAGTACTATTATGCAGTTTATGATATGGTGGTTCGAGGAAATTGCTTCTGCTACGGCCATGCCAGTGAATGTGCCCCTGTGGAAGGATTCGATGAAGAAGTGGAAGGCATGGTAAGCAAGGACTGCATGATTCTAAAAAGCAAATGGAAGCTAGTCTTACTTTAAAGTTTTCACATTTCTCAGGGATTTTGGTTTTCCAAATTTATGTCTAATTCTTTGCATCATACTGGTGTTTGAATGTTGATTTTTCTTGGGTGAGTTCATTGGACTATGAGAATGGAAGGATTGCTCTTTTCATAGACACTGAATAAACGTTTGGAACTTTTTGCTGTGGGCAGTTACTGAAGTAGGTATTTTAGTCAACAAGGATTAAAAAATTGTCTAAATAACAGTCACGTCTGTCTTGACATTGGAGAAGATTAAAAACCACAAGTATTTCCGTCTTTGTGCTAGAAGGCATAAATTAATCCCAGCCCAAAGAAACTGGAAATTTTAATCCTGACATAACAGATCCATTTCTGGATCAGCTGGACTGTGTTTCTTTCGGTCTCCTTTCCTTCAGATTTCATTCCAATCCCATTTGTGTGCTGTGTTTTCAAATTAAGAGCTTTTAAAAATTTCTCGATTTGAATGATTTACCAAATGATTGTAGAGGGTTAGAGTATTTTACCAGTTTCTAGGTGCATTCTAGGCGAATCCATTGAATTTTAAAGCCAGGCAGGACTTTACAGGGTTACCTAAACTAACAGCCTTGTTGTAGAAACTATTGACTAAATAATTTACTATGGGGCCTGAAAAGAAGTATTTGGCAAGTGGGAACTCAAATCTCACCCTTCTGACTGCCCCAATGTTCCTTCCACTAAACTATGAACCTCCATCCTTTTCATTTTTTACATCATTTTTATTACATATAGCATAAAATTGGCCATTGGAACCATTTTTAAGCATGCAGTAACATTATGGACACTCACAATGTTGTTAATAGTCATCACTATCTATTTGCAAAACTTTCATCACTTCAAACAGCAGCTGTACCCATTAAGTAAAAATTCCTTATTACCCCTTGTTGTTGTTAAGTGCCATAGAGTCAGTTCCGACTGATAGTGACCCTGTACAGGGTTTCCAAGGAGTGGCTGATGAGTTTAAACCACTGGCCTTGTGTTTCAAACCACCCTTTTGGTCCAGTGCATTATCCTACAGCGCCACAGCAGAACTCCATATTCTTTCTAGAACTTGTAATCTATTTTCTGTCTCTGTATATTTGCCTTTTCCTAAGTGCTTAGTTGGAGTCCTGGTGTGGCACCATAGGATAAGCACTTGACCTGAAGGTCCGTTTGAACCAAAAGGTTGGTGGTTCAAACTCACCAGCTGCTCCTTGGAAACGCTATACAGGATTGCTATGAGTCGGAACCGACCCAGTGGCACTGAACAACAACAAGTGCTTACTTAGTTGCTAACTGATAAGTCAGTGATGTGAACCCACTAGTGATCTGCTCCTATAAAGTGTACAGCCTGGGGAGCCCTCTGGGGCAGGTTTACTCTGTCATATATGAGTCTGAATTGACTTGATGGCATACAACAACAGCTATCTCATATAAACAGAATCCTACAATATTTGCCTTTTTCTGTCTGGCTCATTTCACTCAGCATAATGTTTGAGATGTTCATAAACAACAGGGCATGTATCAGAGCTTCAGTCCTTTTTATGGCTGAAGGAGTACTGATGTGGTGCTGCAGGGTGAGTACTGGACTTTAGGGTGGGCGCTTCAAACTTACCAGTTGCTCCTCGGAAACCGTATACAGGGTTGCTGTGAGTTGGAACTGACTTAACAGCACTTAACAACCACAGCAGTATTCCATGAAGGAATCAGGGCAGTGCACTGAGTGATTAGTGCTCAGTTGCTTCCAGAGGTCAATGATTGGGACCCATCAGCTGCTCCATGGGAGAAAGACGTGGCAGTGTGCTAATGTATAGTTGACAGCATTGGAAACCCCATTGGGCAGTTCTACCCTGTCCTCTAGGTTCACGTTGTGTCAGCACTGACTTGATGGCAACTGGTTTTAAAATTCCATTGGATGGGTGCACTGCATTTTGTCAGATCTCCCTTCCCAATGAGAGTTTGCATTGCTTACTTGCTCTGTGCCTTTTCAGAGGTTATCAGTCCTTGGCAAAGGTGCAGGATCGTGTGTATTCGATCTGTTTTTCATTCACTCCAGTTAAAATTCTTACTGTGCAGGTAGAGTTGCATTTTTAACAAAGCCTGAAGGAAGGGCTGTGTCTCTCTAATCATGTTGTTGCATCTTTTGGAGAATCCTAGGTGGGTTATATTTACTTTTCAGTGTAACCAATCTGGCATGTCATGCCTCTGTCATGCTTCCCACAGCGTGTTGTACTGTTGACTCAGGTACCACAGTCTTTGCTGTGTACTTTGGAACCACTTTTCATTCTATGCAAAACCACCTTGTAATCAGAGGATTTCAGTCTTCTGCTAACTGCATTCCTGTCAATGTGGGCCTGGGATGGACCTTTCTGTTTTATTCCTGAATTCCGTTCTGTAGAAAGCACTATTGAATGGAGGCACCTGTGTACATGCATATTTCGTGGACCCAAAGCACTTATTTGTCACTTGAATGCGTCAGGGGTCTTAAGTAGGTCTTGTTCGTAACACAATTCAAAATGGTGTATCACAGACTCTTGGATAAAGCAAGTTAGTCTGTATTCCTTATCTAAGAGAAAAAAGTTAATGTAAATATGATAAATGGTTAATTTTTAAAATCTCATTTTTGGTTGAAAGTTTTTGTTTGTGTGCTATTCCTCAAGTTAAGTCAAACAAAATCTGACAAAAAAAAACCTTTCTGTTATGGGGCATAGCAGTAAAACTTAAAGTCTTATAACTTAGTCCCCATCTGATATATATGCATTTAGTTCTGCACTATAACGTTTTAAGTTTCTATAAAAAATATATTTTTAGAATATTATGTACGTATTTTTGCTTGTCTTTTTGAATTTGTAAGTAACTAATTTTGTTTTGTTTATCGGGGTTCTTCTCATAGATACTTCAATAAACAGCGTATTGAGCTTCTGTTATGTAATGAGAGCCTTTCTAAAGATGGAGTGATAGTCATAAGTAACACAGATAAAGCTCACTGGGGCCAGGGAGAAAGGAGGAAATACAAACAACAAAACTGACGTTGGTGAACTGGAGATTCGTGTGAAAAGGAGTTTGTGTTTTCCCATTGATTGTGGAGGAAATCTGGCCATTCCCTTAGCTCTTACTTTGCTCTGTCCTGTGTTTATAACTTTCAGGTTCATGGACACTGCATGTGTAGGCATAACACCAAGGGTTTGAACTGTGAACTCTGCATGGATTTCTACCACGATTTACCTTGGAGACCTGCTGAAGGTCGAAATAGCAATGCCTGTAAAAGTAAGTCTCAATAGAAGACACCTTTGGAATCAGTTAGTACTCCAGGATTCAGTTTCTGATTAGAGGTACTATCACAGTGTACCATTTTGCAGAGGGAAAAAACATTACTATTCTTTTCCTAGCTTTAGCCTGATACTCCTAGGAGGCCAATAATTCTGTGTAATTCAGTTTAAAAAACTAGTGCTTCCTGAGCAACAGCTATGTGTTTAGCACTGGTCCAAGTCCTCTGACAGATAGTAAGAACCTAAGATGTGGTCACTGACTTTCTACCTGTTTTGAAAGGAAGATGATGGTGAGAAAAACAAAAGGAAAATGTGGTATGGCAGGTCAATACAGTCTAAGAGATATGGAGTAGACTGTAAGAGTTTCAGGCCTTGTTTTCTTGCCAGCCTAGCAGTGGCCTCAGATTTATCCGTCCATTCATTCATCTATCCGTCCGTCCATCCATCCATTCATCCCAGTGGTGGAGTCAGGCACACTGCCATCCTTCCCCAGACACAGACACAGTGATTCTGACATGTTGCTTTACCCATGGCTGCCTCTGTCCCCATTGGAAGACTGTTCTAGATGTTCAGAAACTAGTGAAGACTGGACTGGGATGGGCTTTGTTAGTAGGTAGGAAGGAGTGAATTGGCCTTTGATAGATAGATTAAAACAGCTCTCTTTGACATTGGTGTTTCACGCAGAGTGTAACTGCAATGAACATTCCGGTTCATGTCACTTTGACATGGCTGTGTACTTGGCAACTGGAAATGTCAGTGGAGGAGTGTGTGATGACTGTCAGCACAACACAGTGGGGCGCAACTGTGAGCAGTGCAAGCCATTCTACTTCCAGCACCCAGAGAGGGACATTCGAGATCCTAACATCTGTGAACGTACGTTGGGGAATGTGCCACGTTGAGACTTGTTTCTGGTTATCGTCCAACTGTAATAGTCCGGTCGTTAACATCCTTCTCTCAGAGTTCAGGAAGAGCATCAAACCCACCTTTGTTATTTTAATTGCTACATGGGAGTCTGGGAGTAGAATTTACCTTTGTCTATTTTTGTGGGATTTGGAAAGAGGAAAGGAACATGTATATTTGTACAAACACACACAGTGTGTTTCCTGTACCTTCAACCTGGTGCTTTCTATTCTTAGACTGTACCTGTGACCCAGCTGGTTCTCAGAATGAAGGCATTTGTGACAGTTACACTGATTTTTCTACTGGTCTTATTGCTGGTCAGTGTCGGTGTAAATTATACGTGGAAGGAGAACGCTGTGATATTTGCAAAGAAGGCTTCTATGACCTAAGTGCTGAAGATCCATTTGGTTGTAAATGTAAGTACATATCACTAAAACGTTTGGGACATATATGTGTATGCACTAGTGTGTGTGTGAATACTGCTAAAAGGTAACAGAAAATTAGGAGGAAAAGATAATAGAGTTTACCCATGAAATTTTTTCAAGTCCTGTGTGTGTGTATAATTATTTACACACTGCCATATATGGATAATTCTCATTTTACTTTGCAATTCTAAATCCCAAACTGTGATTTCAGACTCACTTGATTTGTCTTACTTCTTTCTTGTCTTTAATACTAAAGCTTGTGCTTGCAACCCTCTGGGGACGGTTCCTGGTGGGAATCCTTGTGATTCCCAGACTGGTTACTGCTACTGTAAACGTCTGGTGACAGGACAGCGTTGTGACCAATGTCTGGTAGGTAATCCTCATTACCTGGCTCAGATAGTTTGTGAATGTCATGGTTCAAGTAGAGAATACATACATTTTGCCACTAGTTTCTATCATTATAAAATTCATTAAAGTGGGATTACTAGTTAATAATTTGCTTAAATTTTGACCATCTCTGTTAGAATTGTTAAGTGAAATCCACAGTAAAATACCATTATTATTTGTTACTGTTGTTGTTAAGTGCCGTCAAGTCGGTTCCGACCCATAGCGACCCTGTACAGGGTTTCCGAGGGTGTAAATCTTTACGGGAGTAGAAAGCCTCATCTTTCTCCCGTGGAGCGACTGGTAGTTTCGAACCGCTGACCTTGAGGTTCACAGCCCAATTCGTAACCACTACGTTACCAGAGCTCCTTTATTATAGATAAAATTTAATAACTTTTAAATTTTTCTTTTGCTTAATGTTCGTAATGATATGCTGAGGATCAGGCTCTTATATGCCGTTGATGTAAATGCAAGTTGGTTCACCCTTGGGACAAGCATTTTGGTGATACATATTGGTAACTGTTAGAAATGTGTATGCCCTTTGACCCATAATGAAATAATCAGCGTATTGGACAAAGATGTAATCACCTTAAGATTCATTGCATATTTGCTTAATCATAGCTAACGTCTTAGAAGCAACAATGAGAAAGCAAGTAAATTTGGAGCTTCTATACAATGTAATATTTGGTTGCCATTGAAAATGACTGTAACATGAGGAATGCTTATGCATTCTAGTAGATCCTAAAAGTAGATTTCTGGAAGGGCTGATTTAAATTGGTGAGTATGGTTTTTATCTGCTCATTAGGAAATACCCATATGTATTTGTTGAGGTGCAAAGAGATCTTCTCTCTGTATAGATTCTGTCTCATTTCCTGCATTTCTCTTTCTGAGGTTCCGAACACTTTCATCTCTTTACCTTCCATTCATGAGAATGGTCCTTTATTTGGGCTGTGTTTCCATATAGATAAATGCTGAAAGGTTTTCCTTATGGGATTTATGGCAGGCTGAATTAGGAAAATTTAAACATTTTGCCAAATATATGAAAGTGAGTCAAAAGTTATCCACACTCTGGCTGTAGAATTTATTTTAATCAAATTTTAGGGAAGACATAATTTTTCAGCATAGTCTCCTTGCTTTTCAATACACTTTGCCCATCTGTCAGCAAGCTTTCGTATTCCCTTATTTAAAAATGTTTCAGGCTGAGCTGAGAGCCACAAATTCACTGTTCTCTTCACTTCTTCATCAGAGGGGAATCTTCATCCTTGAAGGGCTGCTTTCAGGGGACCAAACAGGTTAAAGTCCAGTGCAGAAATGTCAGGATTATAGGGAGAATGCGTTAACACTGCAAAACAAAGAGGTGTGTGGACATGCATTGTCACGTAAGATCACAATGCCCTTGGGTAGCAGTGCTCCATTTAAACTGATGTTTAAGCTTCAGCTCTTCAGTAAGCATCTCACTGTAATGACCACTGTTGATTGTTGGACATTTTTCCTGATGTGTTTCAATGTTGGCCCTTGAGAATCCCAGATAACTGTAAGCATCTATATTTTAGTTGGTGATTGACTTCTGAACTCTTTCTTGGTGAGGATGTTTCTATTCCATACTCTGCCATTTACTCTCAGGCTTGTGGTGATGAATCCATGTCTTGTCACTAGTAATTTTTTTTTTTTTGAAGAAACTTTTACCTTCCTTTGAGTATGAGTCCAAATTTTGTTTGCAGATGCTCAAATGCTTTCCTGGAGTTTTGGTACCTATCTTGCATAAACTTTTGACACCCAAGTCTATTGTGGGTTTCTTTCATAAATTGAGCCATGGCTATTTGCAAATGAGTTACTACATAATCCGTTGTCACTTGTCTATTTGACAGTATCATTTCACATGCATGTTCCATGTTGTCATCAGCCATGGATGTGGATGGGTGTTTTAATATAATTGGAGTGTGGATAATGTTTGACTCATTTGTGTATCTAACCACCAGAGTAATTCTAATGAAGAAAATCATCTTGACTGCTTACTCATATTAATTATTTGAATGCAGGGCAAATAAACTACTCTGTGATCTGGATAGTTTCATGTGATTGTGTATAACCTGTTCTAACTCCAGAAATCCACAGTTGGGTTTCTTTATTTCAGGGTAATCATTCCTTTTATTAGCTTTATGCTTTTACAGTGAAAATGAATATTTGGTGGAACAACCCAAACACGCTCTAACTTGTTTCTGGCTGAGTCTGTTGTATAATTACAGGAATTTACCTTTAGGTGCTTAATCTTTTATTCTGCAGCCAGAGCATTGGGGTTTGAGCAATGATTTGGATGGATGTCGATCTTGTGACTGTGACCTTGGAGGAGCATTAAACAACAAGTAAGTGACTGCCATCATGTTGACTAAAGTCTCAGTGCTTTAAACAAATGTATCCATTCCAAGAGTCTTGGTGTAGTGCTGTAGATAAGCACTAGACTACTAACTGCAAGGTTCGTGGTTCAAAGCCACTGATTGCTACTTGGAAACCCTGTATAGGGTCACTATGAGTTGGAACCAACTTGATGGCACTTAACAATATGTTTATGGTTTTGGTTTTTAATATTGTTACTTAATGTTTTTGTACTTTTACTGTTTAGTATTTTTTTTAATTATGGAAGCAGTGTATGCTTATAGTTTTATAGAATTTCAAACAGTTAAGACTAGCAAAAAAAGCAAACAGCCAAAGTGTTCCTTTTCTTTTCCTTTACTACTCTTCCCCAAGTTTCACTGCTTAGAAGTGTCACATTAACAATTTCTTATGTCTCTCTAGAAATTAATAGTGCTCAATATACTTGTTAAAAATGAACATTTTTCTTATTATTTCTCTTAAAATAGTAAAATATGGGATCATATTCTTTAAAACAGGCAAGTACTGATTGAAAAAACAAATACAAAGCTCATGGTTTCTTTACTTACTTACCTTTACTAATATTTCTTGAAAATGAAAGTAATAGAGTTTTTTGAACAAATAGCATTCACGATGTATGGTTTTTAAAACCTATGCAACCCCTCTCATGTTTGTTTCTTATGCACTCAACGTTTTTGCATGATGTGAAAAATGCAGTGTGCATATACATATGTTTCTACAAGTAGGTTTTTATCTGGAGATCTTTTTTTTTTTTTTTTTTTTTTTTATGTCAGCATGTATTCATCTACCTCTTTGTTTTTACAACTTTTGGGTTTTCTGTCATCTGAAAGTGCCGTGATTTATTTGATCCCCCCCTTTTTTCTGCTTTTTATAAATTTTGTAGTGAAAAGCCTTGTAAATTAGAGGTGCACCCTTGAGTAGGTTCCCAGTGAGGGAACTGCTAAGTCATAAAAAGTGTACATTTTTTATTTTAATAGAGAATGTCAAATTGTTCTCCAGAGAAATTGTACTGAACAGCTGATTACAAAAGTATCCCCACCCCCGTCCTCTTAGCAGCTGGTGTTATCAAACATCTTTGTTTTTTGCCAATCTAAAAGATGGAAAATGAAAATGAACTCCCATTTCAATTTGTGTAGAGAATCTTTTCATCTTTTTTTTAATCAACTTCCAAGTCCATTAATGAGAATTAAATATAAAAAATTTTAGTTACTTAAATATGTTTGTATTCCTTGAATAAATGAAGCATGAAACTCTACTAAAAATTTTCATATGTATACATTTGGCAAGATATAAAATTGGAGAAAGATTAATTAACTAGCTACCTTTGAGCCAAAGAGAATTTTGGTCTCTGTTTGTTACTGGATCCGAGTGAGAACATCTGGTGAAGACAGTGTAAGTGACTGCTGAGAGAATAGACAGATGTTTCCTTGTAGTCCTGAATCTGCCCTCAGAGAACATGCTGAATTCATTGAGCAAGCTTCATGTACTCCAAGTTTAACTCTCCTATAAAATTATTTCCCAACATCATAGTTGTCTGTTGGGAAGGAATAATATTTTATGCAGAAAGATCATGTTCTGTTTGGCTGCTTTATTGAGGTTTGTTCTGTTCCAGATCTTACAATGGATAAGTACAGCATGTAGACTCAGAAACTCCAGGGTGAATTTCTGTTCTTAGAAAACCTTCAGAGAAAAAGGAAGTCAGGATCATTCCATAAAAGTACAGCAAACAAACTGCTCACAGAATCACTTCTGTGAACACATGTTGATTACTTTAGTAATTGATTCTTCAATTCAGAGCTGTCATCACTTCTGAAATCCTTGATTAAATGAAAGTGCCATACATGATTCTTTATATCATGTTGTAAACTCTGGAATGTTTATGCTTCTGTTTTTTAAATTCTTGGGAGTCTTGATGTGGCACTGTAGAATAAGCACTGGATGGCTAATCACAAGGTCAGTGGTTCAAATTCACCAGCCTCTCCTTGGAAACCCTACACAGACAGGGTTGCATTGGAGTAAGCTCAATTCATAGTGACCTTGTAGAGGGCTTCCAAAGCTGTAAATCTATTCAGGAGCAGAAAGCCTTATCTTTCCCATGATACTGTGCTTTGATTTGTTTTGTTTTATTGTATTTGATATGATTTGTTGTATTTGTTGATTGCTTGGTTGTTTATCTTCCTAATTAGATTAAAAGTCAACTTTTTTTTTTACAAAGTAAGCATTTTATAGGTCTATTACTTGCCCGTTTCTCTTTCTCTGCGTCATTCAGCCACAAGGAATGGACTTAACAAACAAGTAAATATTAATTCAAGAGACAGTTGATAATGGACTAAACCTTGAGGCTATAATAGCAGAAACACTAATATTTACTCAGTAAATATTTGTTGATGAGTGTAAGAAGTGTGACTTGTGAAAGAGAACGGGTTTTCAGAGGATGGGTTACGGAAGCTGCAGGAAGCCAGGCAGAGGTTCCGTAACTTGATGTATAAATAGAAGGAAGCAATTGTGGTCCTTATGAAATGATGAGAGTGGTGCCGTGGGGAGGGTGGTCTGGACCGGACTGACTGGGCATGGGAGAAGTTTTGAGAGGTCATTTAGGAGGTCAGTAGAGTGCGAGGCATGGGATGATGACATACTAGACTCTGATAGCAGCAGTAACAATGGAAAGGAAAGTGTAGAACTTGGTTATTGAGGATAAAGAAAAGCGTAGGCATATCTTTCCTATGAGAAGAAATTTTAATCTGCTGACAGGAAATAATAGAGTTGAGGACAAAAAGCCAGTATGAGAAGGGAAGAGCAGTTTGGGACAAGATGGATTGGAGATGCCAGCTAGAAACCTTCCTGTAATAGCTGGAAACACAGGACAAGGGCACAGCCGAGTAGTCAGTGCTAAACAGTGTAGGTGTGAGGCCCACAAGAATGAGCTCTCTGGAGGACTCAGTGTGGAATTGGAGGCATGCCTATCACTGGCAGCAATTCTAGTCTCTGGACACTAGAGCTATGTGATCGCCGGCGGTGATAGTAAGGGGATTCCTGTTCTATGCTCAGGTTCTCATGGAGTTGTTTCTGTTTAGAATTGTGCTACAGGTAAAAGACAGCAGCAGGCGTCTGACAGTATCTGTCTCCTTGCCGTCATTGACTTGCTCTCCAGGGATGGCTTGTGGTGGTTTTCTTCTCCAGCACTTTGTGTTTTGAACATTGGTTTCCTCAGCAAACACCTACTGAGGGCAAAGAAGGGTTTCTTTTGTCTATATGATGTAATGTCTGATGTCTAAATTTCTGTAAATGGTTTTGGTTGGTGTACTGTGCCAAGAGAGTCAAAGGTCCTAATTGCAACAAGCTTTCTTCTCTTGGGATCTGACTGAGGGAATTCATCTTCCTGTTTCATAATAATTACTCACGTCATATACAGGAAGAGGACTTAAGTTGGACCATAGCAGGACTGTCCAGGACATTTTTAATAAGCCTCTGAGTGTTCAATCTTTCACAGTGTAACTTGCCTTAGGTACTTGGTTTCGAATGATCTCTGGGAATGAATGTAAGGTGATGATTCCAAACCACATCTTGATTCTAATGATGTCAGGTGACATTCATGTCCATCAGTTTTACCTTGTACACAAGGTCATGATGCCAGGGAAAATGGGAGAGGTGTAGGCTGAGACCAAAAGGAGTGTCTTATAGTTTATTCAGAGGCTTTTATTCCCTAAGACAATAATGACTAATAAAAAAAAGTGTTTAATTATTTATATTTAGTCTCTTATTTTCCCTTTCTCTTATTTTTTATTCTGGAGGCAGAATAAAATCCTTCACACATTTATTTGTTCAAGCAGTCTCTATTGAGTGGGGTCTGTGCAGAGCACTGGGCCAGGCCCCGCAGGGTGTCTGAAGTGAGGAAGGCAAAGTGGAGTCCTCAAGGCATTTTCAACCTAGAAGGCGGTTAGATGGGTCTGTCAACATTTATACTACAAGGGAAAAAGTGTGACAAACATTGTGAGGACAATATTAGATAAGCAACAATTGAGGCCTCACAATGTGCCACTTGAGAAAGCAAAAGGGAGGGACTCAAACAAGACTTGCTGAAAGCCGAGAGGTGTGCTAGGCTTTGGAAACTAAGTGGGGTGTGAGGACACAGCTACTCAACTTTAATGATTGTCTACTAGCGTAGTGGGTTATGGGTTGAGCTGCTGACCGCAAGTTGCAGTTCAGATCTACCAGTCTCTCCACAGGAGAAAGATGACGCTTTCTGCTCCTGTAAAGATTTACAGCTTCAGAAACCCTCATAGGTTCACTGTGAGTCAGAACCGACTCGACGGTACACATCTACCACCACCACTCTGTTGGTAGTGATAGCTTTGATGTAGATGTTGGGAAGATAGACATAACATGGAACATCATTTCTCTCTCAAGGAAGTGGTGGCTTGAGGAGAAGATGGTTCGTTCTATGAAGTAGGGGCAGTGTGGGCTGAATCTTAAAAGAAGAATTTGTGCGTCTTTGCTGGGTACATCCAGGCAGATGGTATTCATTCCAGACTTCAGGAATGTGAGCAAAAAGCAAGGAGTTATGATTCAGCTAGTGCATTTGAGAAATTGCAAGATATTGTGAGTAAAGACCAGGTTTGGAAAGGTAGAGAAGGGCTAGTTCATGGAAGGTCAAACAACAGGAAATAGTACCATAAATGCTTTAGAAAGTACTTGGGCAGCTGTGTGGAGGATGGCAGTTTGGGAAAGTAGGAAGACTGGCAACAAAAATACTATTTCAAACTCTTATTGTGAGCAAGAGAGAAAGGTGATACAATAGCATAGACAGTAGAAGGAAGAAAAATACACGCTGATTCTGATCGGCTGATGAAGGAATCTAGAGCCTAACTTCTAGTTTCTGATTTAGGTGGCTCAGTGGATGATGGTGCTTTTGTCACAGTAGGACATAGGAGAGAGGAGCAGGTGAAGGGGATTGAGTGCTGATATTTTGAATCTGTTGGTTTGGAGTGCCTCTCAGACAGCAAAGTTAGAGATGCTCATTTTTATTACCAATCCAAAACTAAACCCGTTGCTGTAAAGTTGGTTATGACCCCTAGAGAACCGAAGGGTTTTCTGGGCCGTAACCATTATGCAAGTACATCATCAGGCCTTTCTTCTGCAGCACCATTGGGTGGGTTTGAACCACTGACCGTTAGATTGGTAGTCAAGTACAAACCTCTGTGCCACCCAGAAACCTAAGATATTTAATAGAGCAGTGGACAATTGAATATAAGGGCAAGTTAAAGGAGTCACAGTTGGAAATAAGACAAAAAATATAAAGTATAAAGTACCAAACAAGAAAATTTGTGATGTCTAAGAACGCCTCAGCCTGGTGTGAATGGAGCAGAAGTAAAGCGAGGCCAGGTCATGGAGAGCTTCCAGGATGACTAATTCAGTCAGCTTTTCCACATGCTTATTTTCTGAAGGAAATGAGAAAGTCCTACATGTTTATGGACGGTGTAGACCCACTTGTAGTAGAAAGCTCTGCATGGTGAGCGTAGCTGACTTGGCCCTCTTCTCTCTTAGCTGTTCTGCAGAGTCCGGCCAGTGCTCCTGCCGACCCCACATGATCGGACGTCAGTGCAACGACATGGAATCTGGCTATTACTTTACCACGTTGGATCACTATATCTATGAAGCGGAAGAAGGTGGCTTTGGGCCTGTAAGTAGGGAAGTGTTTGACAGATTGAATTTTGTGGGCAGTAATGGAGTCTTGGAGTCTTGGTGTGGTGTTGTAGGGTAAGCACTGGTCTGCTAGCTGCAAGGTTGACAATTCAAACCCACTGGCTGCTTCTTGGAAACCCTATATAGGATCACTATCAGTTGGAACCAACTTGATGGCACTTAACCACACAACAATGGAGCTCTTATGGTGCAGTGATTAAGCACTTGACTGCTAACCGAATGAATGATCAGTGGTTTAAACTGACCAGCCATTCCCTTCGGAACAGACATGGCTGTTTGCTTCTGTAAAGAGGACAGTCTTGGAAACCCTATGAGGCACTTCTCCTCTGCCATATGTGGTCCTTATGAGTAAGAATCGACTCAGCAGCAGTGGGTTCAGTCTTTGAGTTTTGAATAGCGTATACACAGTTTAGAACAAGGACATTTGAGAAATATTCTTACAGCTTTTGTTAACAATCAGGGTCCTGTCTTTTAAAGAATAGCCGTACTGTAAGCTAAGTAAACCTACAAGCACAAAGAGACTTGGCCACATTCACTCATAAGGCTTTAGTATATTTGTTTAAGATATTTGTTTCTTTAAGGAATTTTTTTCCCCTATTTTTTTTCTGGTTGTAATTGCTCCAGTGTTTTTTTGATCTTGCATTGTAGATACTCAGACACATGGGCATTGTTTCATTTATCTGTTGCTGAATAGTGCAGAGGTCAGTTGCTCTCAGCTGCTAACCAAAAGGTCAACAGTTCAAGTCCACCAGCTGCTTCACTGGAAAAAGACGTGGCATTCTGCTTCTGTAAAGATTATGGCCATGGGAACCCTATGAAACAGTTCTACTCTGTGAGTTGGAATCGACTCAGTGGTAGTGGAATTTTGTTTTGCTTTGCTTTGCCTAACACATCATCCTAAAATTTAGTGGCTTAAGACGTATGTCCCACACTTCAGCTGGGGTGACTGAAACAGCTAGAGGTTGGTCAGACAGTTCTCTCCACATGACCTCTCAAGTAAGTCTCTTAAGCTTCCTCACAGCATGGTATACTCAAGATAGTGTGATGTGTTCTATGGCATCTAGCTTCTAAGAGGGAGAAAGCAGAAACTGCCAGGTCTCTTAAAACCTGGGCTCAAAATTCCAAAACTGTCATTTTCGCACATTCTATTGGTCACAAGTCACAGATAAAGCCAGCCCAGATCGAATGGTGGATAGTATAGGTTTCACCTCGTGATGAATTAAGCAATTCACACACAACACCTACAGAGAGTGGTGGAGTTCATGGTTTGAGATGACCAATCAAAAGTATTGTATAGCAAATAAATTCAAATGGATTCATTCTCTATCAGCTCATCAGTAGGGTACATTCATTATATCAAGTTTCTTCATATTTGGGGGTGGTGGCTGTGTACCGTGAAGTCGATTCCGACTCATAGCGACCCTGTACAGGGTTTCCGAGACTGTAAATCTTTACGGGAGCAGAGCACCTCATCTTTCTCCTGCAGAGCAGCTGGAAATTTCGAACTGCTGACCTTGCGGTTCGCAGCCTGATTCGTAACCACTATGCTACCAGAGCTCCTCTTCTTCATGTGTACATAAAGCTGAAAACTAATGCAAATGAAGGAGACAGACAGATAGTTATAAACTCACTGTATCGTAGACTCCCGTTGCCACCCGGTGAATTCTGGCTCATAGCGACCCTATATGACAGAGGAGAAGTGCCCCATAGGGCTTCCAAGGCTATCATTTTTACAGAAGCAGACTGCCACTTTTGTCGCCAGTGGAGTGGATGCCAATCAAGTTACCAACCTTTTGATGAGCAGCTGAGAATATAACAGTTGTGCTCCATAGATACTTGACTAGCCTTGTAGAAATTTTGGGAAATACCTCAGTTGTCCTAGGCTTGCTTAGAACAACACTTGGGCTGTTCTCTTTCCATCTGTAATGGTCATTCCCTTGGTTATAACTTACAAGGTGTAGTCTGAGTCCTATCTCCAATGTTTCAACAGTACCCCAAGGACAAAACTAAGAAAGAACGCAATTTCCTGTTTATACATCAAAAACATTTTTACACTAGGAAACACTAGTAGACGCTAAGAAAGAAATGGTGACAGTAAAAACTGCATGTGTCTAAAGTTTTCGACATGTGTCTGAATTCACATTTCTTTGACTGTTGGGATTAATTGAATTCCACTTTTAACTGCTTTTCCCCTTGCCCTAAGGGGGTCAGCATAGTGGAGCGGGAGTATATCCAGGACCGAACTCCTTCCTGGACTGGAGCTGGTTTCGTCAGAGTGCCCGAAGGGGCTTACCTGGAGTTTTTCATTGACAACATACCATATTCCATGGAGTACGACATCCTAATTCGCTATGAACCACAGGTAAAAAAAAAAAAATCAGCCCATGGGCTGTCAGTAGGGTGGCGGTGGGGTTTACTGGTAGAAAAACCTTACTTCTAATGGACATTATATGTATTTTTTTTTAATTGGAACAGTTCTGTTACTAACTTTCTAACTTTATGGAAGTTAAAAGGTATGTTTTCCTTTCATTTCATTTAACAAGCATATAGAGAACTCTTGCCACTTAACTGTGTAACAAGAATGTCTAAGATCTGCTCCTTCCACTCAAGGACTGCCCGGTCCACTGATGGACCAATGCCCCTAGCTTTAGTAAGGCAGAAGAGGGAAAGGTACCAGCAGAGTCACAAACAGTGATAAAAAAAAAGGGAGAGGGTCATACCAGGTGGACTGGAGCTGCCAAAAAATAAAGAATAAAATCTAGGCCTTACAGTGAAGCTTATTTTCACATATAACTCGCCACACATATAACATATGATGATGAGTCAAAAATTACCTCCACTCTGGTTTTATTAAAACGCTGGTCCATGTCCCCAGCTGATGACAACATTGAGCATACATGTGAAATGATTCTGTCAAATAGATGAGTGACAGTGAATTGCGTGGCAAATTATTTACAAATCAGCCAGGGCTCTGCCTATGAAATAACCCATGACAGGCCTGGGTTTTAAAATGTTTGTGGGAGATGAGTACTAAAATTCATGGAGGAACATAAATAGAAGCGTTTGGACATCTGCAGACAAAATTTGGAGTGATACTCGAAGGAAGGTAAAAGTTTCTTTTAAAAAAATCATTACTCCCCTCCCAAGACTAAGACTCAATGGGAATACACACTGTGATTGGCGACCACGCTCGACACCGATAGGGCAAGTGAGGGAAAAGCAGCAATGAAGTGGTGAGCTAAGCCCTACAACGTTCAATAGACTTCTGTGAACCCGGGTGAAGACCTGGTTGGCCAGCAGTGTGGCAAGCCCTGGGGACTCTTGGGCCCAGAGTCAGTGACATAGCCACAGAGGACTAGAGTGGAGAATGAAGCGTCTAGCTGATAAGAAGAGAGGGCATATGCATAAGAGCACCCACACTTGCAGATGGTACCTACTTGTCCTGGCTTCGATGACTGGATGATCGGAGCTCAATCAGAAGTAAAAAGAAGAGGGAAAAAAATAAGTATATATTTTCATACAATTTGATGAACTTGACCTACACCTATGGAAGCAGTAGCTCAAAGGAGGGAACAAGTCTTTACAGCGAGAATCATTCTCACCCCCTCCACACGCAGAGTAGACAGGGATGGGCAACTTGGACATTGACTACCCAAAATGGGGGGCTGGGTGCTACAAAGGCAAGAAGTGACTGGCTTACAAGCTTTCAAGAGGGAACCTAGACCCAGAGAGCCTGGAGGAAGGTAGAATCTCCAGTGAGTAGTATTCAATCTGACTAGCCGGGGCTGATGCAATGAAATGCAGACGGGTCTCTTGTGATACAATGGTGAATGATTGTTATCAGGACTGATTGTGAGGGTTGGAAGTGTAAAGGTGGACGTTTTATAGCAAGGAGGGGAGTGATTAACTTTTCGATCTGGGAGCGGTGGTCCCGAGGACCATCAAGGGAGAAGAGCAGAGAGCGGGACCCTACCCAGAGAAGCAGTGATGCCTGAAATGAAGCCAGAGATGATGACGTGGAGCTATGGAGCAGCTGAAGACTTTGGATCCAGAGAGGGAGAGCGACTGTGTGCCGAAGACCTGGGGGGCACGGGGGAGGGATTACATGGAGGGGATTGTAACCATGGCAATGAGACAATATACGATAGAATGAATGTAAAACTAATGTTCTCCCATGTAAACTATCACATAATTCACAATAAATCATTAAAAAAAAAAAAATCATTACTGGTGACGGACGAGACATGGATTCATCACTAGTAGCCTGAGAGTGAATGGCAGAGTATGAAATGGAAACATCCTCAATCGCCGACCAGGAAAAAGTTCAAAAGTCACCTATCAGTTGGAAAATTGATGCTTGAAGTTTTCTGGGATTCTCAAGGGTCATTGTTGGAGCACTGTCAAGAAAAAGATTCAACAATCAACAGTGCTCATTACAATGAGATGCTCACTGAAGAGTGAAGCCTAAAGTTCAGAATAAACGCAGTAGACTGCTATCCAAGGGCATTGTGATCTTGCATGACAGTGCACATCCATGCACTTCTGTTCAAACTGTTGACATTCTGCAAAAACTTTGTTTTGAGATGTTAAAGCATCCTTCCTATAGTCCTAATCTTTTTCTATCAGAATTTGACCTGTTTGGTCCCCTGAAAGCAGCCCTTAGAGGACGAAGAGTCACATCTTATGAAGCAATGAAGACAGCGGTGCATTTGCGGTGCACAATGCAGTCTAAAACATTTTTTAAATAAGGGAATATGAAAGCTTGTTGACAGATGGTCAAAGAGTACTGAAAAACAAGGAGATTATGTAGAAAAATGATGTATTTATCTTTTCTAAAATTTGATTAAAATAAATTCTACAGCCAGAGTACAGATAATTTTTGACTCAACCTCATATCTATGCATATAATGTGCATATGTTCATGGGAAACAGGCATATGAGAGGACTGATTAGTACTAGATAGTGCACATATTCCTTGTGTTAAAAATACAGGGATGGCATTTTGATGAAGTGACACAAAAAGAAAGGGCGTCTTCTAAATAGAATGCAAGAAAGAAGAGAGGAATGTTTTGAGCATCATACCAGATCACTAGGTAAGGGAGGTGGTGGGAGATGCTGTCAAGAAAAATGCAAGCATCAAGAAAGGACGGTGGGTGCTCTATTAGCAGTGCCTGGCAAACCTTTTTGAGATACCACTGTCTGGAAAAGAGCTAAAGGATTTTGAGCAGGAGGTGGTTGTAAGCTGAGCTGTATTTTTGAGAAGGAATGCAGAAGATCTTGGGGAGAGGCAAGGAGAGCAGTTTGGAAGGCAATGCAATGTCTAGGTGAGAAGGATGAGGGCTGGAGCTGGGGCAGCATCAGAAGAAATGATAAGAGGCAAGTTCCGGTTTCCATTTCATGGCGGCCAATGGCCAGTTCTGAGAAGTCCATGTAAACAGCAGTAGACTAATGCGGCTGGTCTTTTTGATTGCTTTTCATTCTAGTTACCTGACCACTGGGAAAAAGCTGTCATCACAGTGCAGCGACCTGGAAAGATCCCAGCCAGCAGCCGATGTGGTAATACTGTTCCCGATGACGACAACCAGGTGGTGTCTTTACCGCCAGGCTCCAGGTCAGCATGGCGGCTGTGTGCAGCTTAGCAGAACTCCTGTGCAGATTTATGTTTCTTGTTGTCTTGCCTTGTAGTTACCATTTCAGAGGCAGACATTGACTTTTTCCCTTTGGGATTATCTACATAAACCTTTTTTTTCCCCTTTCTTTTCTTCATGTATTTATGATGCTTAAAGCTTGACTTTATGTTATTGTTACTTCTCTTTTTGTTTTGGAACAGATATGTTGTCCTTCCACGCCCCGTATGCTTTGAGAAGGGTGTGAATTACACTGTGAGGTTAGAACTGCCCCAGTACACCTCCTCCGACAGCGACGTGGACAGTCCCTACACGCTGATCGACTCAGTGAGTGGGAGTTCTGTGACATATGCAGGGACAGCTGGGCAGAGTGTTCATCTGCACCCCAGTGTCTTGTATTCAGGGCTGACATTCAGAGTCGGCACGGAATCATTCTTCCGTACCTCAGACGGTATTTTGTTAGTTTGTTCTAATAACTGCCACCCTACAGAGTTGATTCTTTCTGGAAATAGCAAGTGGCTTTTAAAAGTGCCATTTCAAAAACCATCAAGCTCTGTAAAGCATCTCTAAACTTTTCCTGGCAAGAGTACTTAAGAGTGGGAAGATTTCACTGTTATTTAAGGATTTTTATTTGTCTTTTCAAGTATCAAGCATTTTGGGGTTTTATGCATTTGCTTGCTTTCACTGATGATAAGAGGGCAATGCCATAAGAACCGTTTGCTGTTCTTGTATCGTCATAGCTTGTTCTCATGCCGTACTGCAAGTCACTGGACATCTTCACTGTTGGAGGCTCAGGAGATGGGCCAGTCACAAACAGTGCCTGGGAAACCTTTCAGAGATACCGCTGTCTGGAGAACAGCAGAAGTGTTGTGAAAACGCCAATGACAGATGTTTGCAGAAACATCATCTTCAGCATCTCTGCGATGCTACACCAGACGGGCCTGGGTAGGTGGTGCTTATGAGCTGAAGCTACTGCTGCTGCTTCACCTCTTCACTCTTAAGGCAGGAATATAGTTGGTGCCTCAGGTACATTGGAATGTATATTCAACAACAGTTTGTCATAATTGTTTAAATGCCAGTATCTGGTAGCATAGTGGTTACGAATTGGGCTGCCAACCTTAAGGTCAGCGGTTCGAAACTACCAGCCGCTCTGCAGAGAAAGATGAGGCTTTCTACTCCCGTAAAGAATTACACCCTCGGAAACCCTGTACAGGGTCGCTATGGATCGGAACCGACTCGACGGCACTTAACAACAACAACAACATTCTAGTGATAAGGAGCTCTGATAGTGTAATGGTTATAAGTTGGGCTGCTAACCTCAAGGTCCAGCAATTCAAAACTACCAGCCGTTCCGTGGGAGAAAGATGAGGCTTTCTGCTCCCATAAAGATTTACAGCCTTGGAAACCCTATGCAGGGTCGCTGAGAGTCGGAACTGACTCCACAGCACACTACCACCAACACCATTCTAGTGATAGAGTAGTATTGAATATGGAGTTTATTTTCAAGAAATATACAAATCACAAATGACAAGGGGGGAAACTTGGTGAGAATATATATAGTGCTTCCATCCAGGGTAGGGAGTTGAAGTGGAATTAGAGAACCATCAAATAACTGAAATGTATGTTTTTTCTCTTAGGTAGGTCTCATCAACCCTTGGGCTTTAATCTAATGTCCTGTGACATTTAAGCTTTGAAGCATAGGGAGACAACCTTAATGATCTCCTGCCTAGAAAACTGTTCTATCTGCCAACCCCATCTCCTACTTCTTCCCTCCTGCTCATCACAGGGATACTGTTATTATAAATTGGGATTCTGAACAAGCACAGTAGTAAAGGAGAGTCAGGGAGAGCCCAGTAAAGGGAGCGGGCCAGTCAGAAGCCGGAGCACTCACTTCTCTTGTTGGGGTGGAGGGGGCTGGTCAGTAACTCTTTGTCTTAGGTTCTGACCTCTTTGTCCTGCAGCTTGTGAATGTGACCCTCAGGGTTCATTAAGTTCTGTCTGCGACCCCAATGGAGGCCAGTGTCAGTGTCGGCCCAACGTGGTTGGAAGAACCTGCAACCGGTGTGCTCCTGGCACCTTTGGTTTTGGCCCCAGTGGATGCAAACGTAGGTTAATGGGAAGACTTATAATGCATGCATGCACATTCTTTGAGCAGTATCGGTGTGGGTTCCACATTTCTAAAAGTAGTCATGGAAACCCATGTGTATTCTAAACTGAGTCCCATTTTCCCACTCCAGCCTTTGGTGGGATGAGGGTGCTTAGAAACCAGGGGTGTTTTTCCATCCATTGAGTTTCTCAAGGTAGCTCTTTGGTTGTCCGTTTCTTCAGCTTGTGAGTGTCATATGCAAGGATCTGTCAGTGCCTTCTGCGATCCCATCACCGGCCAGTGCCACTGTTTCCAGGGGGTGTACGCTCGGCAGTGTGACCGCTGCTTACCTGCCCACTGGGGCTTTCCCAGTTGCCAGCCCTGCCAGTGCAATGGTCACGCGGAGGAATGTGACTCAGTGACGGGGGCGTGCTTGAGCTGCCAGGACTACACCACAGGGCATAACTGTGAAAGGTACGTGGGCGCTGCCAGGACTCCACCACAGGGCCTAACTGTGAAAGGTATGTGGGCGCTGCCGCTTAAAAGTACAGAGGATCAGGTAGCTTGTAGCTGTGCAACGATCCTAGACAAACCACAGAATTCACCTCTACCAGGTTCCACATGTTTCATTCATTTTGGCCCACCTCAGGACTTTTTAGGAATTCGTTCACGTAGCCAGTACTTGTTTAATTCGTACACTTGTGTGCCAGGCCCTTGCTGGTGCCAGGGATGAGGAAGTTAGCAGGACTGCTATGACTCTTGGAGATAAACACTGCAGGTCACCATAAATCTGTATGGAAGTCAGATTTCTGGTCCAGGATAAAGATTGTGAAATGGAAGTGCCTAATTTGGGGCCAAGTAGAAGCCAGATCCAAAGGAGCTTAGTCATTTCACAGAGCTCTGCATTTAAAAACATGGTGTGCATCTGTAGTTTTCAGGAAGGAGCCCTGGTAGCATAGTGTGGCTGCTAACCATAGGAACAGTAATTCAAATCTACCAGGCACTCGTGGGAGAAAGATGAGACTTTCTACTCCAATAATGATTTACAGCTTGAAAACTGTATACAGGGTCACTAAGTGTTGGAAGCGACACGGTAACACACAACCATAGTTTCCAGGAGACCTTATACAATGTGTACAAGTTGATATCTGTTTTCTTGTTAGCAGATGTTCATTGAATAATTATCATGGTTGCAAAGCACTGCACTCTTTATGGTAAGAATAGGATGTAGAATATGCTTCCATAACATTATAGTTTAGCTTGATATATATATAAATCATCCATATGAAAAAGTTACTGCTCACATAGCACTCCAGGTTAATGTGCTGGATTGTTAAGGCTGATTTGAACTACGAGGTCGGCTATTCAAACTCACCAGTTGCTCCTTGGAAACCCTATACAGGGCAGGGTCACTATGAGTCAGAACCAACTTGATGGAATTAACAACAACAACAAAGAAGAAATACAGACATATTATTGAGTAGGCTGCTTTTTTGAGGGATAATAATCTCTGCTTTTTCATGTCAATAAATTTTCATCTCCTCTAATACCTAGTCCAAGGAACTCTGATAGTATAGTGAATTATACATTTGGCTGCTATTGGAATCTCCCAGTCATTTTGTGGGAATCCACCAGTCACTTTGATGAGGCTCTCTGCTGCCGTAAAAATTTGCATCCTCAGAAGCTTTTACACAGGGTTGCTGTGATTCAGAAGCCATTCCAGCTGCAACAGTACCCAATCCATTGTATAGAAAATGTTTGTTTTAGAAAGTCACATGTACAACATTTCAACAAATGCTTCATTCAGTACAAAAAGCACTCTTCACATGAGAGAGAAATTGGTAGTGAAATTAAACAAGTAGTTAACTTAGGGCGTGAAGAGGGGTACAGAAGCTGGCATGTGGGTCTGGCTGTGTGCTGAGTGTTATCTAAGATTTTGAAGGTTCCATCGATGACAGCTTTTACTAAAAGTTATTCCTATCGTCTTTAGTTTCATTGCAATGACTACAATCCCTTCCATGCATCATCAAACAACCAGAGGCTCCACAAGCCTGCTCCCTGGTCATCAGCACACAGCCCCTCTCCTTCCCTGAGTCCAGAGTCCTCAGTCACTCCATTTTTCCACTTCATCGTCTCTGCCTCCATCTCCGGCGTCACTGCTTCTCTGGATAGGGTCCCACACTCTGCTCTTCTCCCTTGATGGTCCCAGGGTCCCCCGTCCTGGACTGCAAATCAACCACTCCCCTCCTTTTGTTACAAAACATCTACCCTTACATTTCCACCACTCACAATCAGTCCTGATAGCAGTTATTCACTATTGAACCACAAGAGTCTTATCCCCATCAGCTTTCACGAGCCCCAGACAGGCTGGAAACCACTTAATGGTGAGTCTACCTTCCCCCACCCCCTCTGGAACTAGGCTCCCTCTTGAAAATTTGTAAGCCAGTCATTTCTTGCCTTTGTAGCTCCCCCCCCCCCATTTTGGGTAGCCAATGTCTAAGTTGCCCATCCCTGTGTACCAAGGGGAGGGAATGATCCTTGATGTAAAGATTTGTTCCCTCTTTTGAGCTACTACATCCATGAGTATAGGTCAAGTTCATCAAATTGTAGCGGATTATTCTTTTTTTCTCTAGTTGAGATCTGATCATCCAGCCATTGAAGCCAGGTCAAGTGGGCACTATCTGCAAGTATGGGTGTTCTTGTGCATCTCCCCTCACTTCATATCAGCTGCACACTTCACTCTTCACTCTAGTCCTCTGTGGCCATGTCCCTGTCTCTGGGCCCAGGAGTCCCCAGGTCTCACCATACTGCTGGCCAACCATGGCTCAACCCAGGTTGACAAGAGTCTATTGAACATGGTCAGACTTAGCTCCCAACTTCATTGCTGTTTTTCCCCCACTTCCCCTAATTGGTGACCAACATGCTCAGCAGCAAGAGCACATGCCTGATCATGTGTGTATTCCCCTTGAGTCTCAGTCTTGGAAGTTTGCCCTGAGGGGAACTGACCACTTTCCTTGATGTCTCCCGGGCAAATGACTTGCTTGTTCTTGTAGTAGTCAATCAGACTGCTGTTACTGTTTATTTCTGCTGGTTTTTCTTTCAAGAAGTATCTTCTGTTCTTCTGGCCGTTCCAGGCTGGTCTGCTTGTCCTTTCAGTGGAAATTTCCCACCTAAAAAGTTTCTGGATGAGGATCAGGATTCCATCTATGGCCTTATGCAATACAAAGGCTCTGCAGGAAGCCTCCATCACTGGGCAGGTATTCTAATTAGTTATAGGCTGAAGACAGACTTACAAGCTTTCTATAGTGATGTTTCTGGCTATTCCTTTCTCTCCCCTTCAAGTGTCTATTTTACAATAGTAGGTAAGGGAAAATGAGATTCAAAAGACAGCCAAGCATTTTAACATTATTTCCTCTCTTTTACCCATTCAAACCATACCTCAAACCCTGTATCCCAGAGCCTGTTTTCCAAGGTTGAGCATACATCATTATTTACCTGTTTCACTTAGCCCGTGCAAACCTGCCTAAGTATTCTCCCATCCACCTTGTTCTTCCATTTCCCCTCCCTCTTCTTGTGTATTGCACTCCCCCAACACTCAAACTTTCCTGTGTCTATTCCCTGCCCTGTGCTCCATCTTCCCTTCCCTCCCTGCACCCCACCCCATACACCCTGCAAACCAGCAAAGATTTTTTTTTCACCTTTTAGTGTGGGTACAGGAGGGACCAGTCACTGGAGAAGGATATCATGTTTGGTAATGTGGAGGGTCAGAGAAAAAGAGGAAGACCCCCAACGAGATGGATTGGCAAAGTGGTAGCATCAGTGGGCTCAAGCGTGGCAACAATTATGAGGTTGGCCCAGGATCAGGCAGTGTTTCGTTCTGTTGTGCATGGGGTCACAATGAGTCAATACTGACTGGATAGCACCTAACAACAACAACTTAATTTCTTTAGCTTTTACAATAATGGTCCTATGCAGTATTTCTCCTTTTGTGACTGACTTGTAGTGGTTATGAATCAGGCTGCTAATCTCACGGTCAGCAGTTTGAAACTACCAGCTGTTCAGCAGGAGAAAGATGAGGCTTTCTGTTTCCATAAAGATTTACAGCCTCAGAAACCCTGTACAGGGTCCCTATGAGTCAGGGCCTCCAAGGCACATAACAACACAACAACAGTTTCACTCAGCATAATGTCCTCAAAGTTCATCCATGTTTTGCGGTAGCTTGCAGCTTCCTTGTTATTCTTCAAGGTAGGATAATAGTCTATTGTGTGTATGTACCAAAGTTTGTTTATCCATTCTTCCATTGATGGGCACTTAGGCAATCTTTTTGCTATTGTAAATAGTGCTGCTATGAACACTGGTGTGCATATATCTACTCGTGTTATGGTTCGTATTTCTTGTTGATAAATACCAAGTAGAGAACTTGCTGGATCATACGGTATTTCTGTATCTAACTTTCTGAACAAGTGCCATATTGTTTCCCAGAGTGCTTGGACCATTTTGCAATCCTGCCAACAATGTAGGAGGGTCCCAGTTTCTCCACATCCTTGTCCTTTACTTTTCTGATCTTTGATGTTATTGCTAGTGTGAGATGATATCTCGTTTTGATTTGTTTCTCCCTAAAGTCTAGTGATTGTGAACATTTCTTCATATGTTTGTTGACTGCCCCTGATCTTCTTCTTGGTGAAGTATCTGTTCATGTCCTGCGCCCATTTTTTAATTGGGTTATTTGTCTTTTTCTTGTAGAGGTGTTGTAGTTTCCTATAGATTTTAGACATTAGTCCCTTGTGTGATGCATTGTTGCAAAAGATTTTTTTCCCATTCTGTGGGCTCCCTTTTTACTCTTTTGGTGACGTCTTTTGATGCACATATGTTTTTAATTTTTAGTATATCCCAATCATCTATTTTGTCTACTTTTGTTTATGTAATTTTCAAACTGTTCAGTAGTCTGTGTGTATCATGTATTAGAGCGAGCCCTCATATTTGTCCCTATTTTTTCATTGTTGGCCTTTGTAATTCTGGGATTCACATTTAGGTCTTTAATCCATGCTGAGTTGGTTTTTGTATTGGGCGTGAGGTAAAGGTCTTGTTTCAGTCTTTTGCATATTGCTTTCCAGTTCTGCCAGTACCATCTGTTGAAGAGACTGTCTCCTCCCCATGCAGTATACTCAGGCACTTTGTTGAATATCAGTTGGCTGTATGTGGATGGCTTAATTTCTGGATTCTCGATTCTCTTCCGTTGATCAATGTATCTTTTATTGTACCAGTACCAGGCTGTTTTGACCACTGTAGCCAGCCATGTAGTAAATTTTGAAATCTGGGAGTGAGAGGCTTCCAACTTTTTTCTTCTTAAGCAGTGCTTTGCTTATCCTGAGTCTCTTTCCTTTCCATATTAAGTTTGTAATTGTTTTTTCATCTCTTTGAAGAATGTCATTGGAATCTGGATTAGGATTGCATTATATGTGTAGATTGCTTTGGGCAGTATTGACATGTTCACGATGTTGAGTCTTCTTATCCAGGAGTATGGTATATTCGTCCATTTTTGTAGATCTCTTGGTTTCTTGTAGTAGTGTTTTGTAGTTTTCTTTGTGTAGGTCCTTTGCTTCTCTGGTTACATTTGTTCTTAGATATTTCATCCTTTGGACGGCTATTGTAAATGGTATTGCTTTCCTAATGTACTTTTCAGCACTGTCATTGTTACTATAGAGGAATCAAACTGATTTTTGTCTGTTGATCTTATATCCTACCACTTTGCTGAATCTTCCAATGAGGTCTAGTAGTGCGTTTTTACTGAGTCTTTGGGGTTTTCTATGTATAGGATCATATCGTCTACAAATAGAAAGGGTTTTAGTTTTACTTCCTCTTTGCCAATTTGGATGTCTTTAATTTCCCTATCTTACCGTATAGCTCTGACTAAGACTTCCAGCACAATTTGAATTGGAGTGGTGACAAAGGGCTTCCTTGTCTGGTTCCTGTTCATAGAGGGAAGGCTTTCAGTTTCTCTCCATTGAGAGTAATGTAGGCTGTTGGTTTTGTATATATGCTCTTAATTATGTTGAGGAATTTCCCTTCAATTCCTACTTTTTTGAGAGTTTTGATTTCTTAAGGAGAAATGAAAGAGGCTGTGGGAGGAGGAAAGTGTTTTTAGCTGTAGGTTGAATAACAAAAAAATTTTTATTAAGTAATTGGAATTCTGCTATCTAGTTTAAGCCAGTTTCTCATCATACTTTTTCTCATTCCAAGATTCTCAGAGTTTCATTGTATGAGCTTGAAAAATAATTCTAGGCTTAAATGTTCCCAAGGGGGAAAGTGTACAGGAGACAGAAAGTGAAACAGGTTTCTATCCTATTGTGTTTGGACTTAATGTCACCTGGAAAAGACCCCATAGAAAACCTTTCCAGAAACTGTTGTACAAAATTGCTTCATCAATGCATAATTACAGAATGTAGCTTTTTATTATGTCTTAGCACTATGTCTAATTAAATAGAAAGTTAATTTCTCCTGCTATATCTTCCTCCTTCCTACCCCCTTGTTAAAGGTGTAATATTACTTCTATCTCAAAAGAACATGAGAAACAAACCCAATTTGAGTTCCAGGCTCTAGTCTGCTTTTCACTTGCATGATAGTTAGTCTCTCAGGTATCCATTTTCTGTCATAAAATAACCAGGTTGGAATGCACGCTCTTCAAAATTCCACCAAGAAATTACATTATAGAAAATAAAAAGAATAAAAAATGATTACAGTTCATCTTGAGAAGCAATGTGATATAGTAAAATAATTTCTTGCTAAAAGAAAGCTGAATTCAAGTTCTTAGTTCTTATTAACTAACCTTGTTAATCACTCATTGTGAACGAGGAGATTGGAGTTGTTGAATTTGGGGGTTGATAACCCCCCTTTTCCCTACCTGAGTTTGGTACCTCAAAAACTGGATCACAGGTTGGTTTGAACCACAAGCTTAGTGATTCAAAGTCACCAGCCACTTGGAAACCCTATACAAAGTCACTATGAGCCAGAACCAACTCAATGGCACTTAACAACAACAATATAGAATCCTGGTGTGGCACTGTAGGATAAGCAGTGAACCATAAAATCGGTTTGAATCTCAAGGTCAGCAGTTCAAACTCACCAGTCGCTCCTTGGAAACTCTATACAGGATCACTATGTTCCCAACAGGAGTTCAAGTTTCTTGCAATTGGAGTTCATAACTCTTAGAAAGATCTCTTCTGTGATCTGCCTAGGTGCTTGGCCGGTTACTATGGTGACCCCATCATCGGATCAGGAGATCACTGCCGCCCCTGCCCCTGCCCAGATGGTCCCGAAAGTGGACGCCAGTTTGCCAGTAGCTGTTATCAAGATCCTGTTTCTTTACAGCTCGAGTGTGTCTGTAATCCTGGATATACTGGTAAATAGCATGTGTACTTTTAGTGGCAAAGTGGAAGGAAATGATGTCGCATTATTTGCCAGTGAAGGTGGATGGGCTAGCTGAGGTAGTTTCATTATTGTAATCCTTGATTGAAAGGGAAGGAGACCTGAAATACAGAAATTGCTTTTCCTGTTTGGCATGTGAGGTGGAGCCTGTTCTTAAGTCTCTATGATAATGATACCATAACAGAGCTAGAATAGCAAGTTCATTTAAATCCATCAGTAACACTCTCTGAAACATTTTATCTGTGGTTGAACAGTAGAAAGAGCGATTTGCATTTTATTTTTCCCCTCCCTTATCCAGCTTTTAAGGGGCCCTACTGAATGGAGTCCTGGTGTGGCATTGTAGGATAAGCACTGGACTGCTGATCAGTTTGAGCCTCAATTTTGACAGTTCAAACCCACCAGCCACTCCTTGGAAGCCTTATACAGGGTCTCTATGAGTGGGAACTGACTTGACTACATTTAACAGTAACAAGTGATATAAATGGTTATGCACTTGGCGCTAACCTAAAGGTTGGTGATTCAAAGCTACCCGGCTTCTCAGGAGAATGTTCTGGTGATGTGTTTCTATAAAGAATAGAACCTAAAAAACCCTATGGGGCAGTTCACTATGTCCCTGTGAGTCTAAATCAACTCAGTGGCACATAAAACAGTAATATCCAAATTGTAGCAGAAGTGTCTGAAGGCAGTGAAGTGGCCAAATAGTGTGCAAAAGGAACAAAAAAAAACGATTACCCAGTGAGTCCCAGATAGCTGAGTCAATCAAAGCTAGTTGTATTCTTGTGTCTATTACACATACATTACTTGTTAACACTCCATGAGTTTAGTTTAGCTGGTGGTGAAACTAAACCCCCTTTTATTGCATCTGGAGGCCAGAGTTTCAAATACTAGTTATGATCATCTGTGGAGTCCTGGTGTGGCGCTGTGGGTTAATGTACCAGACTGCAAAGCCGTTTGAACTACAAGGTTGGTGGTTCAAGCTCACCAGTTACTCCTTGGAAACCCTATATAGGGTCTCTATGTGTTGGAACTGAATCAACGACACTTAACAACAACAACATATGTAATATAGTAAGCATTGGCACCTGATTTCAGGAATTTTGACAAAGGGTCACTAAACACCCTTCAGCCAGTTGCTGTTGACTTGAATCTAACTTCTGGCAACTCTGTGTGTGCCAAAGTAGAACTGTACTCTGGAGAGTTTCCAGTGGCTGATTTTTTAGAAGTAGATCACCAGGTCTTCCTTCGGAGATAGCTTTGGGTGGACCTGAACCCCCAACCTCCTCGCATCAGAGCACATTAACCATATGAAACACCCAGGAACTCATGATCATCACTAAGGTCTCCGCTTTTCTGGTTGCTTATGAGAGGGCAGTGACTTTTCAGTTTGTACCATCCTAGGACTAGGAATGTTAATATCAAGTTAAACTGCAGTGTCAAATCATTACTCGCCTCAAGTCCCATGTGCTAAAAGAAAACTCTGAGATCTATTCAGGAGCCCCTGTGGTCTCTGAGGCAGCTGGTTAGTAGCCGTGCTAGCGACTGACTACAGAACACGTATTTCCCTGCACCACTAGAGACTGCTCCTCCTCCTAAGAATCAGTTCATCCCAGCTCCGCAAGTCCTGCAGCAAAAGAGCTCGTGGCTGCAGAATAGGCTGTTTCTAGGCAGGAGGGATGTCAGTTGACTCTTTGAGTCAAGAAGCTAACAGCATTGTTCTTGGTTTTATTGGACAACAGGCTCCAGATGTGATGACTGTGCCTCAGGATTCTTTGGCAACCCATCGGACATTGGCGGGTCCTGTCAGCCTTGCCAGTGTAATGACAATATTGACTCAACAGACCCACAAGCCTGCGACAAGGAGACTGGAAGGTGTCTCAGGTGTCTGTACCACACGGAAGGGGAGCATTGCCAGCTGTGCCGCTTGGGCTACTATGGAGACGCCCTTCAGCAGGACTGTAGAAGTAAGGCCAGTGATGCCCACCGTCCACTCAGCATCAGGGACTGCTGCCTTCCATGTAGTTATCTCGTTAGGGAAAACATATGTTCAGAGAGACAGAATTTCACCTTCAGCTGAAGAAAAATGAGACTAGCTTCCCTTCACTCCCCGTTCTTAAATCATTTCTGGCTGGACAAGTCACAAGCTGGGGTCCGTGCCTGCGGGAGACAACCAAGAGGAGAAACTTTGTCATTGTTACCATGATAAATGCTCTCCAAATAGAGTTTATTGATTTTATGTTCTACTCATGAGCTTTCTGATTGAATAGGACTTAGAGCTTCTAAAGATCTTCTTAGGGCCTTAGGTTTTCTCATGTCTTTCATGGGGTCGAGTCTTTCCATCTGAAGGAGAAGAAAGTTAACATCTCTGAGGTCTGTCAGAACTCCTGATTTCTCTTATCAACAGACTAGCCAGCATTTCCTCCTGGGCTACTGCAAATCCTCAGGCCCCTATCTTTGTTTATACAAACATGTCTGGAATGTTGGGGACCAGCAGGACTGGATTCCTCAAAGCCTTACTAGCTTCAAGGGTTTTTACCTGCTATTCCCCACACGTTCCTTACTGCTTCTCCCTGCCAAGAATTTGAAATTAGGAGGTATCTGAATTCCTGCTGACATCTTCATAGTTCCATGTAAATCTTCAAGGTTTAAAATGATTCATTTGTAGCTTTTAAGTGTGTGTATTTTGAAAGTACCACTAGGCAATCTGTGTCAGCTCAGTGTAGTCCATTGTAAGAGGATCAATGTTTTTAGCGTTGTGGGTTGGTTTTGTTTTTAATATCTCTGCTATCCCTTTCCCTATCTCTTTTCCTGTCACTGTGGAGATCCGGAGAGGGGTAAGCTGAGAAGTTTGACTGTAACTGAGATTTTCACTGTCTTGTGTATTGGTGAACGTGAATCTACGTGAATCTGACCTCATTGCTCTTTTTCAGAATGTGTCTGCAATTACCTGGGCACCGTGCAGGATCACTGCAATGGCTCAGATTGCCAGTGTGACAAAACCACTGGCCAGTGCATGTGTCTCCCAAATGTGATCGGCCAGAACTGTGACCGCTGTGCACCTAGTACCTGGCAGCTGGCCAGCGGGAAGGGCTGTGACCCATGCAGCTGTAATTCTGCCCATTCCTTTGGACCATCCTGTAACGAGGTGAGGGGTTGGGGCTGGGCTTGCAGCTGTTAGGACATTTGAAGAGCCCAGGGGATGGCTATGCACTCAGAGCCTTTGCTCCAGTTAGAGAAAGGCATCCTCTCGTGTGGGTGCAGTCCTGCACTGGGGATCACAGCTTGGTGTGAAGTCGGCCCTCACTGTCTCCCTGAACTGGAGCTGCATAAATGTGCAGAGGCCCTCACTGACCCTACACGGCATTTCCACCTTTTACCCCAACTGCTGTAGACTCGTGTCAGAACACACAAGGGCCTGGTGCTTCTCTTCAACACCTGGTTCTGAATCAGACCTTTTTCTTAGCTATGCAGCTTGGAAGGAGCCAAATAACCACAACCCAGAATTGTAAAAGGTTCTGTTGTTGCCTCACAGACACTAAGAATGTGGAGCTCCCTCAGTCAGCTAGTCACAGGTGACCTGTAAGGATAAGAGTGAGGGAACCCTTGAGTAATGTGCCATGTGCTGTGGACCTTCCCAGTCACTAGGAGTAGCTCAGGGAGGATATGCTGTCCTCAGCACCTAAGATTTCTTAGTCAGGATGTGGAAGCCAATGGCGCAGGCCTACTCCTGACTGACAGTTGGCAGAAAATAAAAACCTGTCTTCTGTCGTGTAGCCCGCTTGACCAGGGTCTGTTTTCTGGCCGCAGTTCACGGGGCAGTGCCAGTGTATGCCCGGGTTTGGAGGCCGAACCTGCAGCGAGTGCCAGGAGCTCTTCTGGGGAGACCCCGACGTGGAGTGCCGAGGTGAGGTGACAGTGTGGTGATCTCGGCCACTCAGGCCTTGGTCGGAGGGCGAGGGAACAGATGTATGCAAGAGCTTTTTATAAACTTTAAATGTACCATGGACCACCACAAGAACAAACAAATCAGTGTTGGGAGAAGCCAGGATGGCCAGACTTCATGTCTCATACTTTGAACATATTACCAAGAGGGACCTTGGAGAAGGACATCATGTTTGGTAAAGTGGAAGGTCAGTGGAAGGTCAGAGGAAGACCCCTAATGAGATGGGTTGGCATGGTGACATCAAGCGTGGCACCAATTGTGAGGTTGGCACAGGACAGGGCAGTGTTTTGTACTGTTTTCATAAGACTGCCCTAAGTCAGTACCAACTTATAGGCACCTAACAGCAACAACACAGTGGTGAGGTACAAGCTAATTTATTAAGAGCTCTATGGAGTCCCAAGGAGCTCTGGTAGCGTAGTGGTTACGAATCGGGCTGCGAACTGAAAGGTCAGCATTTTGAAACTACCAGCTGTTCCGCAGGAGAAAGATGTCTGCTCCCATTAAGATTTACAGCCTCGGAAACCCTGTACAGGGTTGCTATGAGTCAGAACTGACTCCACGGCACATAACCAACCAAATGGATTCCTGGTGTGGCGCTGTAGGATAAGCACTGGAACACCTACTTGGTTTGTACCACAAGGCCTGAGGTTCAAATCCACCAGACGCTCCTTGGAATTCCTATACAGGGTCACTGAGTCGGAACTGACTCGACAGCACTTGACAACCACAACATGTTTAAGTAAAAAGACAAAAGAAAACCCCAAACCCAACAAATTTGAATCTGGTATGCTTACTCGACCAGCTTAGGGTTAATACTTGTCTGTGCACACATGCACAGATACACAGGAATACACATGCAATGTTATTTTGCTTGTTTGTGTTTCAGTGCTTTTAGCCAAAATAAGGTCATGTTAACCATGTATGGGGGATCTTGAAAAAGTTTATGGAAAAAGTCTATTCTATTTTCATTCATTTTTTTCAAGAAGCCCCGTTATATTTCTGCAAATTGATTTTTTTGTGTGGGCAGCTTCCTTGCAGGCACATGCAGGGGTAGGTGGTTTTACCCTCTCATCATTTGGTTCCTTGCTGGTGGGAAACACCCTTTTGGTGTGTGCACTAGAGTCCCTCAGTGAGCATTGGAGGGTGAGGTTGGCAGAGGCGCTGCATGCTCAACAAGGCGAATATGAGGTACGGGCTCCTCTCGGGTGGCTAAATGTGAAGAAAACACAGGTTCCCACTTAGGTTTATGATAAAACTAGGACCATGAGGGAACACGTGACATTTTCTTAGCAAAAAAAAAAAAACTTGCTGAAATCATGTGAATCATAATGATTGCTTTCATCTTTGTGCTATTACATTTTTTTCTTTTTAATTACTTTTCAAATAATAAAGTAGAGTCATTTGTGAAAAAAATTTAATAGGCTATTTCTACTCCAGTTTTCTCTTTTCTTTCCTACTATGCTTATATGTATTGTTGTTGTTGTTGTGTGCCGTGGAGTCAGTTCCGACTCATAGCGACCCTGTACAGGGTTTCCGAGGCTGTAAATCTTTACGGGAGCAGAAAGCCTCATCTTTCTCCCGCGGAACAGCTGGTAGTTTCGAACTGCTGACCTTGCGGTTTGCAGCCCGATTTGTAACCACTACGCTACCAGAGCTCCTTATGCTTCTATGTATATGTGTGTGTGTGTGTGTACATATATAGATATATATAAAAGCATAGGAGCGCTGATAGCGTAGTGGTTACGAGTCGGGCTGCCAACATCAAAGTCTGCAGTTCGAAACTACCAGCAGTTCTGCGGGAGAAAGATGAGGTAGAATTCTGCTCCTGTAAAGATTTACAGCCTCGGAAACCGTGTGCAGGGTCACTATGAGTCGGAACCAACTCCATGGTACTTAACAACAACATTAAAGCATGGTAGGAAAGAAAAGAGAAAACTGGAGTAGAAATAGCCTATATATATCTCTGTGTATATATATACACGTTGTTGTTATGTGCCGTGGGTTTTAGTTTACTTGTTTGTTACGTACTGTCAAATTTGTTCCAATTCATACCGACCCTATGCACAACAGAATGAAACACTGGGCTCAAATGTAACAGCATTGCTGCGGCCACTGTATCAGTCCATCTCGTGGGGGATCTTCCTCTTTTTTGCTATTCATAGTCATGGTTAAATATTTTCTGTGATTTCTTATTTGCTCTTTTATACATTTTCTTTGATGCACATCTGAAATTATCAATCACTATTGGAGTCTTGGAGTCCTGGTGTGGCACTGTGGGTTAATGCTGGACTGCAAAGTCGGTTTCAACTTCAAGGTCGACAGTTCAAGTTCAGCAGCTGCTTCTTGGGAAACTATGGGTTGGAACTGACACACTGTTACTTGTTGTTGTTGTTAAGTGACATTGAGTCGGTTCCGACCCATAGCAACCCTGTACAGGGTTTCTGAGAGTGTAAATCTTTACGGGAGTAGAAAGCCTCATCTTTCTCCCATGGAGCAAAATTGGAGTCTTGGTGTGGCTCTGTAGGATAAGCACTGTACTGCTAACTGCAAGTTTGGTAATTTAGACCCACCACCTGCTTCTTGGAAACCTTATACATGGTCATTATGAGTCAGAACTGACTTGACAGCACTTAACAACAACAATTGGATTATAAAGTTGTCTTGGTAGAACAGTGTTTAAGCACTTGTCTGCTAACAAAAAGGTCAGCTGTTTGAACCCCTTAGCAGTTCTACAGTACAAAGATGTGGCAATCTACTTTCATAAAGATTGGTAGCCTTGGAAACCCTGTGGTTCTACTCTCTCTTACAGAGTCACTGTGAGTCAGAATCTACTTGGTAGAAACAGGTTTTTGGACTTGAAATGAAATAAGACCTTTTTTGTGAGGGTTGTTGTTAGTGAATGCTATGGAGTCGGTTGTGACTCATAAGGGCTTGAGCAGCTGGTGGGCTTGCACTGTCAGCCTTGCAGTTAGCAGTCCAGTGTTTCTCCTACAGCGCCACACCAGGGAGCAGGGGGAGATAAAATTGCTGTGTTCTTGTTAGTTGTTAGGTCCTGTTCCGTTGGTTCAGATTCATAGTGATCTTATGATCACAGAACGAGTCCTGCATCTGGTCCTTCACCAACCTCACAGTTGTTACTGTGTTTGAACCCTTTGCTTTTGCCACTGTGTCAGTCCATCTCATTGGGGAGCTTTCTCTTTTTCTCTGACCCTCCATTTTACCAAGCATGATGTCTTTCTCCGGGCACTGGTCCTTCCTGACAAATTGTAGGAAGTACAAGAGACTAAATCTCACCCTCGTCACTTGTAAGGAGCATTCTGGCTGTACTTCTTCCCAGATAGATGGTCTTCTCAATCAGTCATCTCAGTCAGTTTTGGAAAACTGCTGTAGAAGAAATAATACAGGTCTTAAGGTAGCAATTCATTTCAGTATCCCCTATAGAAGGTCAGAAGTCTAGATACTGTATGTTCCTTCAATGTCGAAACTTTTCTGTTCTTTAGCTGCAGGAAAACTTCCCACAATGGAAAAAAACAGAACACATTGCATGTAATTTCTTTTTTAAATTGATTCTTAACCAGTTCTGTAGAGCATGAAATCTGAAGACTTTTTGCCTGTGAATGACACCAGCCTGTTGTTAAGTGCGGTGGAGTCGGGTCCACCAGCCTACAAGACCTTAAGTACCTCATGCATCTCTCACAGGAAACTGCCAGAATTAGAAATGGTGTATTTTAAAGTAGGTTTAGGGGGTCACTGTCATCAGCCAGCTGTGGTAGAAAGCTTTCTGGATATACCCCTTAATAATCCCCTGCTTGTAGTGTTATACCCTAAGAGCCCCAGAGACTGTAAGCTTTCCTATCTGCGACAGTCTTCTCCCTGCTTTCCATAGACCTGGCGTGTTTATGTGACGCTGAGCCATCAGGCCTGGTTATAAGAGGAAAATCCTATTTTCTCTGTGTCCTATAAAACAGCACGCATCATCTTCTCCATGAAACATCATCTTCTCCATATGAAGACCTTAATCTAATGTAAGATGCTGGTACCATGTGGAGCCAGAACTTTGGAAACTCATTATAGTATCTGTGGTTGTCTTTGTCTTTCTGTTTACTCTTGTTTAAGAGTTAGTAAAGAGTCTGTATAATATTTATATCTTTGAAGTTGGGGTCTCTTTTATGCCCTATATTACTAGGAGGATTTGTACCAGCATTTTAGATTAGATTAAGGCCGGTTTCATGGAGAAGATGATGTGTGTTGTTTCAATAAACAAATACTTTGTCATTCATCACTCTCCAGTCCAAATGTTGGCTCTTAATGGGTTGACTTTCTCAGTACTCAGTTACCACTTCCATTGGAAGGACCTGACCTTCACTGGACCAGATGCTCCAAGATGTCTCCTGAAATCATAGCCCTTCTTAACAATCTGGTTTCTCCAAAAGTTTAAGTACAGTACAATTCTGTTAAAATCCTCATTCTTTTGATTGTACAGTACAATTCTGTTATAATCTTTCAAACCAAAGGGCTTGATTTTTCTCTAGATACTGGTTCTATCATCTTACTCCCAATCAGCATGTGTCATTGGCAGTGAGCTTTGGCTGCCAAAGTTTTCTGACCTTTTGCTCCATCTTAACTTTCTTAGCATGAAAAGCCTGCTAGCCACAGGCATCTCAATCAGAGGATTGTTCATTTAGTACTCGGAACTTTACCCCTTACCCTTTTATCTTTTCTTTAAACTTTCAGTTCTAAATTTGTTAGGGGGATGATGGCTTAAAAGAACACTGTCAACTAATGTGGGTCAAAAGTTAGATCCTGTTTTAGACACTGTAAAGAGTGAGATCCAGAGCATCAATGTTCAAACAGCTTCTTTGTTCATTTCATCCGGAAGAAAGGTCACCCTTTCTTGCATAAGAAACTGGCAGTCCTGAAAGACAAACAAGCAATGCAAAACAAAAACCGAGTATCCTGCT